TGTCAAATCCATTTTAAAGTGAAAAAAACCTTCCTTTTTCCTATCCCCAAGAAATCAAAATAGACACCTCATCCCCCATGGTCCCCCCTGATTGCATTTTCATTTTTACTACCCCCCCCAGCCTGACGCGAACAGCCCAGGTCCCCCCAACGCCCCATTGTTCACCAATGACCCATGAAAAACCAGCTTTAAAAAAGAAAGGAACAAAAAAAGGAAATAGCGGAAAAAAAAAAAAAAAAAAAAAAAAAGCACAAATAAGCCCCGGCCCCCACATTCCACCACACGCCGTGGCTGCAAACATCCCCAATAATTAATTCCATCCGTCTGCCGCCAGTGCAAAACCTCTACCCTCAAACAGGCCCGCTCGTCTATCTCAACGATACACGCCGAGCGCAATTCAGCGGCTGCGAAAAGCAAGAATCGAATTTCACCCGATCCAAAAACAGCCTTTTCGCAGCCACCCCATTAAATTGCAAAAATCTTCATCGAACAAATTCTAAGAATTCTCGGCTCCTCCTGGCCCGGAGTGCCGTGGCTCCGTCCGAATGACCGGCGCTGCCCCGCCAAGATGTGCCACAAAACCACAACAATCACCGAACCTCCATTCAACTGAGATCGCATCCAAGATCTCGCCAGGCCGAGCCCGCACCCCACAAATTAACTCCCGCGAACCACATTCTTCTTGCTCTTCAGCAACTGATTGTTTAATCGTCAATTGTACAATTAACTGACTTGCTAATCGAAAGCACTAGGGCCACTCCGCCTGCCCCACCCTTATCTCCCGTATCTCCACGAACGGCGCTCTGCCTATTTAACCCATTGTCCTGGCCCGGTATTGTCCTGCCCTGGTATTCATATTGTCATGGTTTCTGCCTCGTTCCTCTGCGGCCTAGCTACCGCACCATGGCCCATTCTCAAGACAGTGCTCCAGTTCTACACCACCGGCACCACATACACAAGGGCGGACCCGGAGTTCAAAAACTCCCTCCGCTGCAACATCGTCTTTGCCTTGATGAGCCACATGGGCGACTACGTCACGCAGCACGATTTCCAGGCTTTTGCTAAACCCGTCGATTTCAAGCAATTGGAGCCGCCGTTGAACCAGGAACCCAGTCTAGGCGAGCTCGTGGCAGACAAGGACAACTTGACGTGGGTGCTGCGGCCCGAAAACGCCAAAAAAGCCATACTTTTCTTCCACGGCGGCGGCTACGCCATGCCTCTTCTAATCGGCATGGTCCAGGGAATCCTCGCCTTGCGCTACGCCCTAGCCTCGCGCGACAAGTACGCTATCGCCTTGCTCGACTACCTGGTGACTGCTTGCGACAAAACGTACCCCACGCAGATCCACGAGGCCACCGACGCCTACAAAAAATTGTCCGATTTGGGCTACGACGTGGTGATGCACGGCGACTCCGCCGGCGGCAACTTGGCGCTAGCGGTGGCCCGTTTTTTCTCCTACCCTGACGAGGCCAGGGCCCATTTTTCGCAGTACCGCCAGTTTTCGTGGAGTTTCGATGCGCCCGCTCCGCAGCACATGGTGCTTATTTCGCCCTGGGTGCAACCGTCCAAGGCGCCACAGCGCACGCCGGGGGTTGACCATTCCGGCGACTCCAGCCCTCGAAAAGCAGATATGGGAAATTGGTACTTGGGTTCGGAAAAATACAGTGAAGTGTGGCCGTTTGTGGATTTCGAGCAGACGAACTACGAGGAGCACTGGGCTCAGGTTCCCGCTTTCAACGGGCTGGGGAGTGCTCTTTTGACGTATGGTGAAAGGGAGCTTTTGCGCCAGGGCCAGGAATCGTTTATCAAGAAGAATTGTAGAAATGTTACGGTGAAGATGCAAAAGGGTGGTTTTCACGATGTGATGCTTTCGGTGGAAACGAGGAATTTGGGGTCGCCCGAGGACATTGTGGCCGGGAGGCATAAGAAGAAATGGGGGTACAGTCAGCTGGCGCTGTTTCTTGATGCGATTGCGACCTAGTACGAGCTTACGACCTAGCTCGAGCTTGCGAGTTGCTAGGGAGTGCTCGATGCTAGGGAGCGGTAACTAGACTGGGGTAGTTTGGACGATTTCAAAATGAATATTGAAGGCTATCTTGGTGACGCTTTGGAAATTGCAGTTTTTGCTCGATGCTAGGGAGCGGTAACGGTTGGGGTAGTTTTGGGAAGATTGGTATTGAAGGCTAACTTTGTGATCTTGGGAATTGCAGTTTTTTGCTCGATGCTAGGGAGCGATAACTAGGTTGGGGTAGTTTGGCCAAATTCAAATTGGTACTGAAGGCTATCTTGGAGAGGTTTTGGAATTGCAGTTTTCGCTCTTTAAATCTTGGAGAGGTTTTGGAATTGCAGTTTTTTGCTGTCAGGAAAGATATTGATAGAGAGAATAAGGATACTTTTTGAAGCATTTGGGCTGGTTCACGTTGAGTGTTGTTTGAAATGGCTGAAATGGATCGTTACTGAATCGACCGGAAAAGTGAACCAATCTCAATAATACAGTTTACTGAGTCAACTCCCGTTGGTCGCTTTAAGTGATTTAAAATTCATTAACCTTGTTGCATACATCGATATTAATTGATTTTAGTGTGCCAATCAGGTTGATGGAAATGGTAACACAGCGAGCCCAATCCAAATAGCACACCGGTCCAGTGCAACATTCCAAATATCACGATACACATCTTCCTGGCGAACTGCCGAGTTTCCAGCCGGCGACACTATCCTCCCCGTCCACCAAAAACTGGATCCAAAAATTCAAACACCACAATACCAGACCTACTGCCTCACGGCTTTCATCCCCACGGCCACCCCCACAGCACTTCCTACACCATCGGACCCAGGGACCACCCCCAACGCCTCGTCCTCCACAGCTGACCCCACCATCTGAGCTAGACCTCGTAAGTGCACCAGGCCCACGGCATTGTCCAAATCTCCGGACTTTCCTATTGTTACAAAAGGCCGTCCGGCGGCCTTGGCAGGGACTGACAGGCTGCGATGGTGCGATTCAAATTGTGTTTTGCAGCCACGGCGGGACCCTCCAGCACCGCGGCACTACATAGAGCAAATTAGAAAAAATAGAGAATCCAAAAAAACCAAAGTCCTCCCGCCCGTGACCGGTTCCATCGCGTGAAGGCAAAAGTGACACAAAGCAGTACCCCACATTCGGCTAGGAACAATAATCGGGTCGCACCAGATCTCGATCCTACAGCCTATTGCAGTAGCCGATTAGCGGGCGGTGACCAGGCCAATTGTGCTGACTGTGCCGTATGTTCTTTTGCTGGATTTTGCATTTATTCCTTTTAGGGTTGTTGTTCAGGTAAGTTGAGCCGGCAACAATACCGTCCCAGGTCCCGGGGTCACAGAATTAACGCTCTATTTCGAGTTTGAAGAGATTCAGAGTTGAGGGTTTTCGGAGTACAGAATTTCAAAAATCTCACAAAAACGAGTTTTGGCCTGAAATGCTCACCGCACTTTGCACCAAAAAGCACCATAATTTCCCAAATCGCGCCGGGATCTATCCTTTCTACGCCGCGCCGGTCTATCCTTTCTACGAGGCAGGCCTCTGACGCACCATTCGTTCGGCCCATGCAGCCCCATGCAACTTTAAGTCCCATCCACCAGATCCTAATCGAACTCATAGCTAAAGGCGATACAAAGAAATGAAAAGACAAGAAACATAATCACTTAAAGCAAGTCGACAACGAAGCCACCCCACTCCCACTCCCACTCCCACTCCCACTGTCCATAAACATCGTAGAAAGCATAGAAACTATTCCATCGACTAAGACCTCCAGCTGGGTCCCCACTTATTGTCTATCACGCCCCCAATACGTCCACCCCATACGTCCCCCATACTTCCTCCCCAAAACGCATCCTCCCGCACCTCCGCCAAGCCTTCACCCCGCCTATAAATACCAGACATCTCCCCAGATCTGCCCCCCATGCCCTCCTTAGTCTCCCGCTTAACGTACCCGCTGCCGCGCCTAGCGCTAGCCGCCATTCTGGTGCCCTGGGTGGCTGCGAAATCCTTCGTCCAGTACTACACCTCCGGCACCATCTACCAGAAAACAGACCCGGAATTCGACACTCTCTACAAAAACGTCTTGGTGGCGGTGTTGGCCGTGCTTGCCACGGCGGCCCTGGCCACAGACGCCAAGTTCATGCCGTACCCGATGAAGCTGATGTTCAAGAAACAGCGTGGTCGTGGTGCTGCCAAAGAGATCCCGCACTTTGGCGAGACGGTCGCGGGCGAAGACACTTTTCTCTGGGTCGCGCGGCCCGAGGCTGCGAAAACAGCCATCTTGTACCTCCACGGCGGAGGCTACCTGTTTCCTTTGGCGCCTGCCCAGCTAGTAGGCATGATGGGCGTGTGGTGGGCTGTTCTGCTGGAAAAACGCCAGAACCTCGCCATCGCCGTTTTGGATTATAAGCTCACCACCTACGCCCACTACTACCCAACGCAGCTCTACGAGGCCACCAGGGCGTACCGGCAATTGGTGGATTTGGGCTACGAGGTTGTGGTGAAAGGTGATTCTTGCGGCAGTAACTTGGCCCTCGCGGTGGCGCGTTTTTTTGCCTACCCGGCAGAAGCTAAAGCTCATTTTTCGCAGTGGCCCCAGTTCGACTGGGACTTTCTGCCGCTTCCCGCGCCCAAACACCTCATTCTCACCGCCCCATGGACCCTGCCCACCTGTGCTGCGGTACCCTTCCCGGGCATGAACCACAAGGGCGAGTTCATTGCGTTGAGCATCAACAAAAAGGGAAAGTTGTACATCAAGGGTCTGGACCGCGACGACGTGGCGCCGTGGGTGGAGTTCAACGAGACCAACTATAAAGAGCACTGGGCCGAGGTGCCTGCTTTTAACGGCGACGGGTCGGTGCTTTATATTTATGGCGAGCGGGAGTATTTCCGTGCGAGCCAGGAGAGTTTTGCCGAGGAGTGCGGCGTGCACAATTTCGACTCGGTGATGCAGCCCGGGGCGATCCACGACTGCTTGTTTGTGGTGGAGGTGCTTGACATTCTGGGCAAAAAAGGCCAGCAGGCGATGGTCCGGGGCGACCACCGCCAGAAGTTTACGTTTGGGCGGATTGGCCGGTTTTTGGATGAGATTTTGTGACGCCCGGCTTTATTTAATAGAGCGATGTTATATGAATTGATGAATATGCTGGGAGGGTGTAGCGTGGGGGGTGTACTTCATGCGGTTTGGCGGGACATTTGGCCATGTAGTGGTGGAATGTCAGATGTTGGACTGTAGTTTTTCAGTTGGTTGTTTTTTGATGAGTACGTGCTGGACGTTTAGGTAGGTAGTATGGTTCAGAAGATCTCTGTAGGCGCAATGCGAATCAGGCTAATGTATAGTGTCTCGTTCGTATTCTATTTCATCGTCTCTAACCTGAATTTTTCAATGATTTAGAGCTGTCCGTTTGGGTTTTCACATTTCACGCCATCAACGAATTTGCTTGAATCAAATGGACCGTTATATTGGGGTTTGAGGTGGGGGATCCGCGACTGTCACTTTGGCTGCGAAACGCATAAACCTGTCAAGTGCGGATAACCAAAAATCGTGAATCCAGCAGATGCGAAAATTTCAGCAAAAATCGACGTGACACAAGCTCCAGCAAAAGCGGCTTTCATCGCAAGTAAAAAATAAATTCGAAAACTGCAAAAAAGAAGCTTCCCCACCAGGAGTCGAACCTGGAATCTTCTGGTTCCAACAGAAGTGGTTACTTATCGTAGCCAGACGCCTTGACCATTGGGCCATGAGGAACGAAGCTTAAAGTGCGAAAATGCGCGTTAAATATGAAATGTAAGCGATACGTTTAGCTTCTTCTCAAACTATCAGTTTTTGTCCGATTAAAACCAAACTTTCGGAATTCATACTATCAAACCCAAACAACAGAAGTGCAGCTTTTCAGCAAAATCTGAACACCTGCAGCACCTTACTCTGCCCTGGTTTCGGATACAATGGATATCCCTCAGCTACACTTGATATCTGAATTCACCACACGCAAACACCACTATACACCCAAAAAGGGGACATCAAAGGTTAAATTTCTCCTCCCTACCCGATAGGACACGTCACAAATCGCTCACAATCGTAAATTGAAGACTTTGACGCCCTCACCGAGAAATCCCTCGAGATTATCCACTTTTGCCATCAATCCAAACACTTCTGACCGAAAACAGCCAGTCGATCCAAACAATCTCGGAAACCCGGATGACACAAACGCAAAGGACCCTGAACAATCCTCTCGAGACAGTTATTGACCCACATTTCATGCTCCCATTGATTGAGCAAGGAAGTCATTGTCCCACCGATGACAACTTATCAGCGACATGTGGCCCCTCATCAACAAAGAGAAATTTCCAACAGACAACTCCTTACACAAAAGCTTGCCGTATATCAGGCAACGAAAAACCCTTGGTGCATACGAAGGTCCGCATACGAGGCAATTACTATTGAGACATGAACAAAAACAAAAATAATGAGCACCGATCGAATTGGAAGAGTTATTACCGACATATCCGATACGGATAGAGTGTCCTTTGTGCGACAGGATCCTCATCCAACGGTTTTGTAAACATGTCTACCAATCACAAAGCTAGAGGTATGACCCTTACTTTTGTGCCCACCCTCCCTGATCTTACAACAATTCAAATCCGGGAAGGTAAATCATCAATGAAGACTTTGTGATTCTGAGCAACTGGCCCCCACGGTACTCCAAAGCCGTTTTGCCTCCGGAGCACTCTCAAACCCGGGAAAATGCAGCAGCACCAAAAAACGCTGCGCATCAAACACATCTTTTACTAAGCTCGGTAAAGAACAAAACATCGTTCTTAAGCGAGGCTTCTTGGGCATAACGGTTTCAGGGGAACAGTTTACACCACATCTTCGTCGGGAAGGTGTTTCAAAAAGGTCTTGTTTCAAAATCGGCTTGAGAAATGGGGGGTTCGGACCGGTGGCCCTCAGCCCCGACCACTTGCTCCCTAAGGCACGCAGCAATTAGCAGGAAAATCATCGGGACTACAGCCAAAACGTCACAAAGGAGATGACGATAGGCTACTAATTTGTGAAATTTGTCAATTGACCAACACCCACTGGTTGCTCAATGCTGGTTGCGGTGTCTCTAGACTCCAACGCCGACATTAGGGGTTGAAACAATTTATTGTTTACCTTGCCAGCCACTTACACTGCCTCTTAAAGTGGGTGTGTGGCTTCGGCTGCGAAATGACAAAATCGCTAAGTCATGCTCGCACGTCAAGTGCGGAAGCGACATTCGCCGAGAATGTGTCAGCTTTCGATAATTGCTAGGCAGAATTTAAAAAATTTAGGTCAATTGCGTTTCGCCATGAAAATGAGCCCAAATACGATCACAAAACGGGTCGCAAGGGTCCTATTTGTGAAGGTGGGCCGTCCACCGCAGTGCTTTTAATAGCACAGAGCCGACATTTTGGTCTCTCAAAATCGCTCTCAACTGCGATCCCTGCAGGTCTGCTGCAAGTCATTACAGCTCCTGATGCGGAACCTTGTGTTTGGGTGCGAAAAACACAAGCGTCTAAACCCAATTGCTTCCGAACCGCTGCATGTCGTTTAACACCACCTCTACCAATGGCTTTCGGGTGCATCTGCGCCTCTAGATACGCCTCCAAAAATAGCTGCTGCCTGTGGAGCCGCCGGGGTATAAAGTCAGCCCGTCCCGCTGTGTTTCATTCACCAGTCAATCATGAAGTATTCAGCACTTTTGGCTATCATTGCCGCCGCTTCCGCAGCCCCAGCCTCCATTTCTAACACTTGGAGCACCTTGACTCCTACGGGCACCTTGAACGAGTCCGCTTCTGCTATTACCTCGATCACCGGCTCGTACGCCCTTTCCATCAGAACCGTTTCGGCTTCTGTTTCTGAGGGCATTTCTCTCGACAAGAGAGACCTTGTCAACCAGATTGGTGACGGTCAGATCCAGCAGCAGACCGCTGACGCTGAGACCAAGTCCGTTGTCAACCAAATTGGCGATGGCCAGATTCAGCAGCAAACTACCGCTGCCGCTGAGCCAACCACTGCTTCCGTTGTCAACCAAATTGGCGACGGTCAGATCCAGCAGCAGACTGCTGCCGCTGAGACCAAGTCTGTCGTTAACCAAATTGGCGATGGCCAGATCCAGCAGCAGACTGCTGCCGCTGAGACTAAGTCCGTTGTCAACCAGATTGGCGATGGTCAAATTCAACAGCAGACTGCTGCCGCCGAGACCAAGTCTGTTGTCAACCAGATCGGTGACGGTCAAATCCAGCAGCAGACCACTGCTCCAGCTACTGCTTCCGTTGTGAACCAGATTGGCGATGGTCAGATCCAGCAGCAGACTGCTTCTCCAACCACCGCTGCCGTTGCTAACCAGATTGGTGACGGTCAGGTTCAGCAGCAGTCTGTCGACGCTGAGTCCGTTGCTCCTACTCAATCTGTCATCAACCAGATTTCCGATGGTCAAATCCAGGCTTCTGGCTCTCCAGACTCCTCCGACGCCGGCTCCCCTAAGCACTACTTTGAGGAGACCTGTGTCGCTGACGACTCCTTGACTGTTTCTCTTGTCGATGGTGAGTTGAGAGACTTCAAGGGCAGAGTTGGTGCCATTGTTGCTAACAGACAGTTCCAGTTCGACGGTCCACCACCACAGGCTGGTACCATCTACGCTGCTGGCTGGTCTTTCGTTCCTGCTGAAGTTGCCGGTTTGGGCGAGAAGGAGTCCGACACCAAGGAGGGCGGCTTCAAGTTGGCATTGGGTGACCAGACCACTTTCTACAAGTGTCTCTCTGGTGACTTCTACAACTTGTACGACGAGTCCATCGGCGCTCAGTGCTCTGCCATTGAGATCTTCCTCTTGAAGGCTGTGGACTGTTAAATGCCGCTGTTCGGCTCATTAAGCACAGAGGAGGCGCTGGTGCATGACTCTGCTGCTTTTCAACTTCTTAAACGTTAACTTTAAATTCGGTTTTGGGACTCCCAAAAGTTCTTAGCATCTCATAAACAAATCGCAACAATTAGTCTTGTAGGCATCATCAGGCGCTGTGGGCTGTAGGATAAGCGACGAGCATCCGAGACCCTCGCCCTGTTCTATTTTTGTATGGAAGATCTGGGAAATCGGGAACCAGTGCAGCAACTCATAATAGCCAAAGTCTATTTTACACACTGGCGCCAGCGTCGGGCTCCAATTGCCGAAGCTCCATTCTCATCGAACGGAGCCAATCAAGCAGAACATCGTCGAGATCTAAGTCCGCAGGAATCAAGATCTCCGAGGCGGTGATTTCGATTTTCCGTAGGCCCGGGACCCTGACGATGCTGCTGGGACCCTCGTCGAGCGTTTTTCTAGACTCTGTCTGCTTCAAGTGGTGCGACCACCTGCTTGCGTTGCTGGATTGTGAAGCCACCGGCGCCAAACGAGGGTGGCTTTGCTCGGGCACGTACGGAGGCAGTGCTGACGAGTCCTGGGCCTCTGGAAGGTCTTTAGATTCCTCGGATTCCTCTTCGGGGCCCTTTTTCTCGGGGTTTCTCCAGAAAAGGCCACACTCCGCCGGAGTCCACCAGTAGACAGGGTACCGTCTGAACACGTTGCCGAAAATACACGCCACCGGGATGATAAGCACCAGCAGCACGAGCTGCACAGGCAAGTACCACCAGCTCATGTTCCTCACGTGCTGGTCTATCAGAGGAAGCATCGCCAGGGCTCCAGCAGGCGGATGGACACAATTGCAGATGGACATTGCCACCGAGGCCACCGCCACACTGAGGCCCGCAGATGCCCATGTGTGAGAACGGCCTCCTTCAGAAAGGTAGAAGAGTTTCTGGATGCAGATGCCGATTAGTGAAGACAAGAAGTGGCCCATAAAGATGTTTCGAGGCTGGGCCAACGGGACCTGGGACGCGTTGAAGCAAAGAATGGCCGTCGCCGCGTACAGCGCTATGATGTTGTTGGCGTCGTGGCTGGTGAAGACGGTGTGGTTCTGGAACACTCCAGCCAACAAGGAGATACCACAGAAGGATGCAACGAGGATTTCAAGCCAGATGAGGTAGTCGTGGGTGGCAGCGGCGGGGTAGCCTCCGAGAAGACGCCGAAGAGGGCCGGGAAGACGGTACACCTGGCTCTGTGGAATGTACTTTGTGGTGTACTTGTCTAGGGAGAAGGTGAAGACCATGTTGTTTCCCCAGATTTCGCGCTGGAATTGAGGTGGGGTGGGTGGTTGTGTATGGGGGGTGGGTTGGAGAAAAGGTAGTGATATAAAATTGGGATTTGGGGTTGAAGGATGGTTTGGGAAGTTTTGGAAAAGGTGGTTTTTGGGGATGGGGTTTGTGGAGATGGCTTAGGTGGTGACGATGGTCGGAGTCAGGCCGGAGTCAGGAATCTCGGACTTTGGCACAGGGTCCTCCAACTAGGACGTGACTTTTAAAGTGATTGAAAATTTGGGGGATTTTGAAATTTCGGGCTTTGGTGCTATGGGGGTGCTGGGGGTCATTGGGCTGCTGGATACGGTCAATGTGATGAGCCGTTGAGACAATGAGCGTCTGCCTGACAATGTAGAGGAGCCCTGGTGGTGTGATTTGGGCGATTTAAGGTGATGTTTTTTTTGGTGAGATTGGGATTTGGGTGTTCAGGGAGCTATGGATTGGTAGACTTTGCATTGACATTCAAGGTGGGCTGGGTTTTGGCAAGGGATGGAGATGTGGATTGTGGCCTGTGCATCTAATGTGGTGAATGGATGAGGATTGATGAATTGGTGGAAAACCAGTCAATTGGATCTGGAAACAGCAATAGGTGAATTGGGTGCCGTTTGAATGTCATTAGATGAAGCGAGTGAAGTAACCGCCGACTACCAGTCAATGATAAACGGTTAATGCTCACATTATGTTCCTATGGATTGAAGGCTACCGACCAGTTCAATTTATACATTCTCAAACGACATTCGTACAGACAGAGGCTTGTGTGCTGCCTCACCATAATGAGGAAAAGAACCCCCCTCCCCCCCCGTAATGAAGAAAAGAAAAGATCCGAATCAGACCGTTTTACTTGGTAGCTCAACTCACCGCCTCAACTCACCGCCTCGTCCTTTTCAATAACCCCACCTGCCACCCCCAACATCACCAGATCACCAAAAAGTATAAAAACCCCAGACCCCCCAAACACAAAATTCTCATGACTCGCTCTCCTTATCGAACCACCGCCACCTCGTGTGACTCCTCCTAGAGCTACAAAATCACCAATCCCTCCACTAGCCAACCAAAGTCAACAACGAAAATCCAACCACAAAGCATAGACTAATCTCGTTTTTTTGGACAAATGGCCAAATCCAAATCAATGACACCTTTCGTGAAACCAGATCCTTGCAACCGACTAGCTCTCTCTTCGTGCAGGCAGCGAAGCTTTTGCCATGCACTGCCTATGTCACCCGCAGTAGCGAGACGTCACTCCGGGAACATCGGAAGGGAGCCTTCCGCAACTCAGCCGGCACTAAAAAAATAATCCAGTGATAAAAAAAAAGAAGCCTCCAACAATTGATAAATGGAAATACTGAAAAGTGGTAATCCTGAAAAACCATTTGGGCATTGCCACTGCTCTCAATGCTACCCCAAATGGTTCACCAAAACACTCACATTCTCCATGCGACTCAGCCAAATGCGGCGTCACTCTGAATCCTGGATCCGCCGTCGTGGATGGATCGGCCGTGGATGGATCGGCCGTGGATCCTGAATCTGCCATGGTGGATTTGCTAAAAATGACGAGCCGCCATTGTAAAGACACCTCCTAGCTTGGCGCTGTGCGTTTTCTGGAACAAACCCCACATTGCTGCGACCCAGCAACAAAGCGTGAGCACCGGCCGTCGGGCACGAATATCGCCAGAAACCCAAAACGGCGGCTTCTCCTTGAAATCCACCGCCAAAACCGCCCTTTCCGATCACAGCCCATCTTTCAAAATTCTCGGGGCACCCCCGGATCTGTCAAAACATGCACCGTCTTGTTTTGCTCAGCCTCGCGCTGTCAGTGCACGGCGGCGCATCGGCACCGTTTTCCTGCGTTCTTGGTTGCTGCCCAGCAAGACAAATAAATAGCATTTCCATCACCATCCTTCTTTTTCCACCCCGTCTATTCCCATGCTGTCCTCGCTGCTGTCCCGGACGCCCAAGTGGCTCCGCTTCAAAAAAATCCACTACTACCTCATCCCGCTAGTGGCATTGGTGGTGTGGTGGGGCATGCTTATAGCCTTGATGCTGGCCTGGTCCATCCAGGGCCACCCCATGTACGCCTTCATGGATGAGTACCAGAAACCCGTCTACATCTCCGACATTGGCGCCACAAACCTCCAGCCTTTGTTTATCTCGTGCACGGGGTTCCAGCTTATATTCTTTGTGGGCACCTTGTTGATGGAGTTTGTTTTGCGGAGAATGAGGAAGTTGCAGCCGTACGTGTCCAACAAACAGAACTGGTTTGCCATCGTCAGCATCATCTGTGCCTTAATTGGCCAGTTGGGTATTCTCATGGTGGCCATCTTCAACACCAACGCCTTCCACGCGGTGCACATCACCATGGTGGCTGTGTTCATCTTCTTCATCTTCTGGGCGTGTTTCTTCAACTTCCTCAATTCCTTCATTTTCGGCAATTTCCCGCTGAGATTGCACCCCAACCACGAGAAAGTCATTTTTGGCAAGCACCGCTGGGCTAACTTGTACATGGTGTCTTTCATCTTCAAGCTCATCTGGCTCATTGCCGCTGTGGTTTTGGCTGCTTTCTTTGGCTACTACATGAAACACGGCCAGGATTCAAAATCCGCCGCTTTCGAATGGACCATCTCCTTCTGGTACGGTCTTTTGCTTATCTTCTGGGCCATCGACCTCTTCCCATCCGCCGTGAAACACTACAGAGTGCACCACCCGGAGGAGTACGACACGGAGTTTGTCGACAGCCACAAGCAGGAAACCACCCAGGTGGGCGGCCACAATTCGTTCCAGCCTATTCCTAAACGCCATTCTTCCAGTTCTGGCATCGACGACACTACCTTGAACCTGCCTCCTAGAGCAGCGCATTTGCACGAGCCCAACTCCGTCAATGTGAACCCCTACGACGGCGCCATCACCGTTCCAGTGCAAGAGCCCGACCAGGAGTTCCAGGATGCGTACAAGAGCCAGGTTCCTCCACAACAGACATACACGGGCGACGCCCGCGTGCACGAGTTCCTGCCCCAGCAGATACGGCAAATGCGGGAGGACGTTTAATGACGAAAAACATATAGGCAACATCATTTTAGAGGTGGAGTGTAGATTTATGATTGTAGAGTGATGGTTACTGGGGTGGCTGCAAAATGGTGTACGGGTCTTTCAGCACACTAACCAAGCGATGAGAATACCAGAACCAGTCTTCAACGCCATGCTTCTGAAGAAAAGACTCTCGCTGGGGCTCACGGCAACCCACAAGGTTTTCGTCCGTTCCCGCCACGGCGGATGCACGAAAATCGTCAGAGAACACTACCTCCGTGGCGATATACCGTGCTACTCCAAGCTCTGCAGAATCTGTCCAGAAGTAGTCCAGCCTGATGCCCAGGGCAATTTGCCTGAATTCATACTTTCCGACTCGCCGTTGAAGCTCAAGGACGGCGTGGGCCACTACGTCATTGTCGACACCAACGTGGTGTTGCAGGCAATCGATCTTTTGGAGCATCCGGACTGTTTTTACGATGTCATCATTCCTCAGGTTGTGCTTGACGAGGTGAAGAACCGGTCGTTCCCGATTTACCAGAGGCTCCGTGCGCTTGTGAAGGCCGCCGACAAGCGGTTTGTTGTATTCCACAACGAGTTCAGGGAGGACACTTTTGTGACCAGAATGAGAAACGAGTCCATCAACGACAGAAACGACAGGGCCATTCGCCGCTGTGTCAAGTGGTACAAGGACCATTTGAACGTGAAGAACAGCGCCACGCCGGTGAACATCGTGTTTGTGTGCAACGACCGTGAAAACAGAGAAAAGGCGATTGCTGACGGCTCCGATGCCAGATCGCTTGTTCAGTACATCGAGAGCTTGCCTGAAGGCGAGGAGCTCCGGGACTTGATCCCGACGGAAAACGAGTCGTTCGACAAGAACGCCAACGAGATCTCGTTCCCCGAGTACTACTCCACCTCGAGAACCATGGCAGGCATCAAAAACGGCACCTTGTACCAGGGTGTGATGAATATCTCCGCATACAACGTCTTGGAGGGCTCGCTCAGCACGCCAGCGTTTAAAAAGCCGTTGTTGGTTGTCGGCACGCATAACCTTAATAGAGCGTTCAACGGCGACCTTGTCATTGTGGAGTTGCTTCCTAAGGATAAGTGGAGAGAGCCTTCGTCGACCATTGTGGAGGAAAGCTCCATCGGTGCAAACGACAATGCCGAGGGTGATAGCAAAGAAAGCGTTATTTCCGATAAAGAGCGCCGTGTGTTGGCCCAAGAGGCAGTGAAGGCTACATCTGCTCACGAAAGGAAACTCCAACCTACAGCCAGAGTGGTTGGAATCACAAGAAGATCCTGGAGATTCTACGTGGGTCAGATCGCCCCATCCTCGGTTTCCGTGGAGGAGGACACCGGAAACTCCTCCAAGACCTGTTTTGTCATTTTGATGGACAAGCTTCTCCCCAAAATCCGTATCAAGACCAGAAAGGCCAAGGACCTTCTAGGGCAGAGAATCGTGGTTTCTGTGGACTCGTGGCCTGCCGATTCGAAGTACCCACAGGGCCATTTCGTGAGGAGTTTGGGTGAGATTGAAAGCGTACAAGCCGAAACGGAGGCCTTGCTTTTGGAGCACGATGTGGAGTACAGACCGTTCTCCAAGGCCGTTTTGGACTGTTTGCCCAAGGAGGGTGAAAACTGGGTCGTTCCTGAGAAATTGGACACCGACAAGCAGTTGAAGCAGAGAGTGGACTTGAGAGACAAGCTTGTGTGTTCCATTGATCCTCCAGGATGTGTGGATATCGATGATGCTCTTCATGCAAAGCAGCTCCCCAACGGCAACTACGAAGTTGGTGTCCATATCGCCGATGTTACCCATTTCGTGAAACCCAATACCGCCTTGGACAACGAGGGTGCTTCTCGTGGTACCTCTGTGTACTTGGTCGACAAGAGAATCGATATGTTGCCCATGCTTTTGGGTACGAACTTGTGTTCTCTTAAGCCCTACGTCGACAGATTTGCCTTTTCGGTGATCTGGGAAGTGGACGAGAACGCCAACATCGTCAAGGTGGACTTCATGAAATCGGTGATCAAGTCCAGAGAAGCGTTTTCGTACGAGCGTGCTCAGAACAAGATTGACGACGAGTCCCAGCAGGACGACCTCACCAAGTCCATGAGAATCCTCCTCAAACTCTCGAAAAAGCTCAAACAAAAGAGATTGGACGCTGGTGCGTTGAACTTGGCTTCTCCAGAAGTCAAGGTGCACATGGACAGCGAGACGTCTGATCCTGGCGAGGTTGAAATCAAGAAATTGTTGGAAACCAACTCCTTGGTCGAAGAGTTCATGTTGTTTGCCAACATCTCCGTGGCACGCAAAATCTACGAGGCATACCCACAAACGGCCATGTTGAGAAGACACGCTCCACCTCCAGCCACAAACTTCGAGGAGCTCAATGAGATGTTGAGAGTGAGAAAGAACGGCATGTCCATTTCTCTTGAATCCTCCAAGGCGTTGGCCGATTCCTTGGACCGCTGTGTGGATGACAAGGACCCCTACTTCAATACGCTTTTGCGTATCATGTCCACCAGATGCATGATGGCAGCGCAGTACTTCTCGTCTGGTTCCTACGGATACCCCGATTTCAAGCATTACGGTTTGGCTGTTGATATCTACACGCATTTCACCTCGCCCATCAGAAGATACTGTGATGTTGTTGCACACAGACAACTTGCAGGTGCCATAGGCTACGAGAACTTGGACTTGAGCCACAGAGATAAGCAGAAGATGGAGATGATTGTGCGGAACATCAACAAAAAGCACAGAAACGCCCAGTTTGCCGGCAGATCGAGTATTGAGTACTACGTTGGCCAGGTGATGCGGAACAATGAGTCTGACCAAGAGGGCTACATCATCAAGTGCTTCAACAACGGTATTGTGGTGCTTGTGCCGAAGTTTGGTATCGAGGGTTTGATCAAGTTGGAGGTTCTTGGCGACGTGAACACGGCAGAGTACAACGAAGACAAGTACGAGTTGACGTTTACTGATTACAAGGGTAAGAAGAAGACGGTTGCCGTGTTTGACAAGGTGACTGTTGAGGTGAAGTCTGTGAAGGATGAGGTGAGCGGCAAGAGAAAGGCTCAGTTGAGTTTGGCATGATAGATTTATAATAAGATAACGGCATGAGGAGGATGTAAGGAAAGTGTCCAAGCAGCAAAAATTTAACATTTTCAAAGATTTTCATGGAAGCTTAGGCGAAAGTAACATTTTTCGTGGAATTTATCAATTGAGGGGTTTGTATCGCAAATAGGTGAAATGGTTATGGGTTGAGATGACCATAGTATTGTCCAGTGATGATGTCATGACATCCGTTATCAAAAGAACAGAAATTGGAAATAGACTGGGATACAACATTGTATTTAATTTCCACGACAATCTCGTCTAAAAGAAAGTTACTACTGGAATCGATGGGATTATCACGAATTCGACGATATGTAGTTCAGTCCAGTATGGTGCATCCAACGCAATGACGATCATCAACGACAGTACACATATTTGAATTCCACTAATTCGGCTCAAAAAAATAGAAAGCATTCAAAACCATTTCATCACAAACACACTCCAATCGTCAATATGAACAATATTAACACTATAAACATTCATCGTGGAAATCGTCATGATACTGAGAGCGACCCCACATTTTACCACTCAGTACTGAGCATCCAAGGTAGCCATACAAACCAGCAAAAAGCACCAATTTCCTAAATCCAATCTTACAAAATCCATATCCATTCAAATACACCTTTAAACTCCTCCCCCACGGCCTCTCCCCCAAGACCTCCCCCAAGACCTTCCTCCCTCCTCCCCCACTCGGACCGAATTTTTCACTCGGCTTGTCCCCGGATCGAGCATCCTGTGATATTCTCCCTACACATTCCTCTGTTTTGCGTCTATTCGCCCAGGCGCCTTAGCACCTGGAAACTGGCGCCTAAGCTGGCCTAAACTGGCCCCAGGCTAGCCCCTGACATCCTATTTACGGTCAATGCTATGTAGTCTATTGTGCGTTGATGTGGTTGACAAGCTGCTCGATGGTGATGATCTTGATGCCGTGCTGCTTCGAAAACGCCAAGCAGTCGTCCAAGCGCATCATGAGCCCGTCCTCGTCCCTGACAAGCTCACAGATCACCGCTGCCGGCTGCAATCCTGCCAATTCACAGAGATGCACGGAAGCTTCCGTATGGCCTCTTCTCTTGTTGAGAAGCCCAGGCACGGCTCGCAAAGGCAACACGTGGCCTGGTCTGATGAAGTCGTCTGGTTTGGACTCGGCGTTGGCCAAGGATCTGGCGGTCAAGGCTCTGTCGTGAGCTGAAATGCCTGTAGTGGTTCCGTGGGCGTAATCGCATGTGACGGTGTAGGCGGTGCCGTGGCGGTCGGTTCTGTCCTTGAGCATGGGCTGGAGATCGAGCTGGTCGGCTCTTTCCGTGGACAACGGAGCACAGACGTAGCCTGAGGAGTATCTGACCAAGAAGGCCATTTTCTCCTGGGTGGTGAGTTCAGCAGCGATGATAAGATCGCCCTCGTTTTCTCGGGTCTCGTCGTCCATCACCACGAGAAACTCCCCCTTTTTGAACGCCTCGATGGCGTCTGGGATGGGTGTAAATGGCATGGTATCGGTGGAAGGTGGAGTGGAGGTGTTGAAGTAGTAGCAGAAATTGGCTGCGAATCCAGAGGCAGGAAGGTCAGGCGATTAGTCAGACAGACTAAGATGACAGCGGGTGACTAAAAAAAACACAAATGGGGACCCACGGCTTTTTTTCTTTTCGCTGGTTTTGGAGCCAGATTTTTTTGATAGCGGACGGCGGCTTTATATAGACGGCCTGGCGGGGCTTTCGTGTTTTGCACCCACTACGGTGAAAGCGGCCATGCAGCCGGAAGAATGCAGCCTGCTGTCAAACGAAAAATAAAAGCGCCTGTCAAAAGACGACGTTTTGTCGCTTTTCGCCTATAACAGGTTATTCCGAATCGGCCTCCGGCTCTAATTAAGCCTCATTCCACACCGCCTTCTGGCGCCTCGTCTCGGTTCCTGCAGATCTGGAAATCCACAAATCACCACCAGCATGGAAATTAAGCCCACAGAGATCCAAGGCACGGCGCCCGACGGGGCGGGTTTCCGTTTTTACAAGGTCGATTTTGTCGATAAGCTTGTGGTTGGGATTGTTGTGGACGGCGTCATGGATGCCCTGTTTGATCTTCCGCTTTCCACTCTGAAGGTGATCGATGAGGGTGTGATGAAGGAGGATTCTTTGGGGGTGGAGCCGGTTGTTTTGGTGGGTGATCCGCAGAATTTGAAGCTTCAGGTCGTGGCGGGCCAGATCGGGAAGGTGATATACTCGCTGGGGAACCGCAAGAATGTGATCTTGAGCATGGGTCTGCGGTGGTGGGGCAGAGACACCGAGGAGGGGGACTTTGACAAGTTGGTTTTTGTGTTGGAGAAGGTGAGGGAGTTGGTGGGCAGCCGGGGGTGAGAGTGAAGTGGCGGAGAAGGGGAAGAGATAGCGTTCCATTGGATGGATCACGGGTTTGTGGGTTACAGATTGGAATATCATGGCTGCCAATTGACCATTGAGCATTTGGCCTGAATGGAAGTTTGCTTTCAACTGATAATAATTCCTTGTATGGAAGTCATTGGATGAATTCAATTGGAAAAGAATGTCTCCATTGAATGGCGGTTGGAGAGCTCAATGGCTATCAGCTGTTTCCTCGTCTTCAACGCAAATGCACGAGAGAAATGGCCGTTTTGAAAGAGGTTTGGCAAAATATTTCTCTCGTCAATTTCTCGAGGGCCTTCTCCGGCTTTGAAGGTAACTTAACGACGAAACTGCAATTCTGAATCCAACTAAGTGGTTTAAATGAGGTACTTGATGGAGAAGTTCATCGAAAAAAGCTACTTCGTAAGATTTCCCGCCTCGGATCGAAAAATGCAATTCAAAGCTCAAGAGTACTGGCACCACCTGCGACGACACAAATCACACTGTCATGGTGACTGGGTAATATGGAATTACTTGTATATATACACAAAAAAGCTGTGCCTAGCGCTCCACATTGTCCCTGGTAGTGTTCATTATTTTTGTTGTAATGATTTTAAGCTCGTGAATATCTATCATTTGACTTCCAGTGATGTTCCTAAGTGAACTCTATATATCTATAGCTTTCTTCAAGCTATTATTCACACCCAAATCATTAGAAGAATGAATAACCAAGATTCAAGAAGGGAACCGACTAATTATCAACATTCAGAACGACGGTCTATATTAGGGTAAATAAATAAGTAAGTTAAAGCATCTGCTGCTCTCTAGCACATCTCGTCTCGCAGCCGACCTCATCGTCCCTTACAAAAATCAGGCTGTATCATAAACTTTTATACGTTAGTACGGCGGCTCAACAATTACGCCGCCCGCTGGCCGTTGCCCCCTATTTACAACATCTCGTACTCGACAAACACCTTCCCCACGTATCTATTCGACTGTCTGATACCATCGAGAAGCGTCTTCTCAAACTCGATGATCTCCTGCAATGGAACATTGCCCTCCAGGGTAAGATGCAAGACGAGATTAAAACGGGCGCCAGCACTCAACACCGAAAGGTCCTTCACGGCGAAACGCTGGTCCGCAGACTGCGACAGAGCAACCTCTGTTTCGACAATCAGGCGAATTTGCTGGTAGTGTTCCAGCGCTGGTGGGTCCGAACGGTCCACAAGCTCAAACCAAGCCTCCTTGAAGGTACCCCAGCCGGCGTGGATGATCAAGATCGACACAAGGCCGCCTCCGACGGCGTCCAACCAGGCCAAGTTGAAGAGCACACCACCCATGACGGTAACAAACGCCACGGCCGCGGTCAACGAGTCCACACGGTGGTGCCACGCGTTCGCCACAAGCACCTTGGAGTTGGTCTCGTCCGCCACGTCCATCGTTTTGCGGTAGAGCACCTCTTTCACACCGATGGAGCCCAACGCGAGCCACGCAGCGTTGATATTGGGCAATTGAGGCCCGTCAACGTCGTGCGTGTGGCCCTCGACGCCGCCGTGGGAGTGGCCGTGGATAGGTACCAGGGCAACCCACTCATAGGCCTGTGGTGGAAGCGAGTACTCGAAGATCTGGAGCAACGATGTCCAGCCCACAGAAACACCCGCAGCGAGAAGCACGCCGCTCACCAAAAACGTGCCCACGGCCTCGATCTTGCCGTAGCCCAAGGGGAAGTTGGTCACGGAGCCTTCTTTGGAGGCCACATTGACCGTGGCCAATGTGAGGAAATCCGCCACCATATCGGAGAGCGAGTGGATGGCGTCGGCTATAAGCGCCTGGGAGTGGAAAACGACGCCACCGACGGCTTTGGAGCCCGCCATGGCAACGTTGACTAGGAGCCCGATCCATGTGATTCGGACGGCCGGATTGGTGGTGAACCCTTTGCCCAAAAGCTCGTTTGGCTGGTGGCTATGGCTGTGGAACACGCCGTGGGAGTGGCCGTCCTCGGAGTGGGAGTGGCCGTGGCTCTCGTCCTTGTGGGAGTGGTCGTGGTCGTGTTTATGGTCGTGTTTAGTGGCGGAGACGTGTTTGTCGATGTTGTTCGGATTCAGGTCGTTTTTCGTGTTTTTGACCGGAGAATTTCTCAAGGGCGCCACGGTGGCGAAAAGACAGCGGGGGCTCAATAGAGCCATGCCCCTGGGGCGTGTTCTCGTTAGTAGGCGGCACGCTAGCATAAAGAGAAGTAGTAGATCGGTGCCGATAAGCGGACCGCGCAGGTGAGGATGGAGTGGTGGAGAAGAAAAGGGGGAATTTTTGGGCTTTTTGGATTGGGGCGGGAAGCTGGTCTTTTATATTTGGGAAAAAGGGGGGCTTGTTGGAATTGGCGTTTGGATGTGGGGTTTTGTGGATTCTGGGTTATGGTCTGGTGAGGCTAGTGGAGCGATGCGGATCGGTGGTGGAGGTGGTTTCTACATGCATTTTGGGGTTTTTGCAACTGAGAGTTTTTGATGGTTTTGGGTGAAAATGGGTTTAGTGTAATTTGGAGCTAAATGTAATTTGATGTTAAACGGGAGGTGAATGGCTGAGGAACATTAGTGTATGGTGTGGTGGAATCGAATGATTTATTCATCAGTTAAAAGTCCCAGCAAGAATAGAAGGTTATGTGTTTTTCACAATTTTGTGAATCAAGTCATCAACCTACCTAAGCTGGTAAAATTGATACTACATTTCAATTCTTCCCCTATCGAGTTAATCCTACTTTTCATCGAACCTAAGACAGAGAAGCAAGCTTCTTTAGAATTATTTCCCTTGAAATTTCACAGTTCGTGCTGATGGAGCTCATTTCTCTCCTGACAAAGGATGTTGTGATAATCGCTTTAAAACATAATCGTTTGGTCAGCCTGCTTGCAAGAGTTGAACATCACCATACCCGTAACCATAAAGTTAGTATTTGGCATGTAACCGTGAGCAGCTAAAACTATAGATAAAGCTAAATCCATAAAACCCAATGAAGCATAAATGGGTGCTTTTCATTGTATTTCCACCGATGTATCCAATCAGCAGGCAATTTGTCCTTGGTTGATCTTACGAATATGATCATCATTTATATTAGACTCCTACATCGACTTTCTCATGATAAGTATCCCTCTTCGTTAAGACAGGAAGGTGGAAAATAATCCTTCTTACATACTTCGTACACTTGACCTTTTATTAGAATGGTGGGGTTTACTTACAGGCGAGAACAAGCAAGCCAAAAAGCGTTAACGAACGATAAAACTGCAAATACGAGAGCAATGATATGGATAGTAGGAGCTGGTGAAAACAGCCTGATATCGAAATACCATGCGGTCAGATGAAACACCTCCATACCATCATTTACTGCCACAAGTGAAAAGATACACTGCAGGCCGTAGGAGACCGCAAGAAATAGAATTAGTGGGCTATTTTCGTCGCAGTCACCCATCCATATCCACATAATAAGCGAAAGAGACAAGACGGCAAAAATCATGGTCAGCCAAGAAGCGAAAAGCTTGAAATCCACAGCAATTTCAGCTCGAGGCAACGATTCAACCTCGTCGTTAGTTAAGCCCTTGTAAAAACAAACCAGTTTACCCAGAGTACCACGGCACGTTTTTCTTCTTTCTAGTTCCTTCTCCAATTTACCTTGCACATCACGGTATGTCAGCATGAACTTTTCACCAAACTGAGGTGGATTTTCCATTTTGTTGAATTCGGCAATTTGGACGCCGACGTCCTTCAATATAAGGCCTTCTGGCGATATTCCTTTGTAACACACCTTTTCAGAATTATCGTTCTCTCTGCATACTCCAGAATATGTCACGGTGTAGTTTCCATGGGGCCATTGATCTGGTAAAAGCTGTCCAATGTTCTTTGTTGATCCTTTAAAGACCTTCTCCAAAGCGTTCACAGTGCTGTTCATCTTAGAAACTAGGGAGCTGTCGTACTCACAAATTTCATGTGTCTCTCCTGTGATATAAAGGGATCGGAAAACAAACGTTATGTAGAATAGAAGCCAACCCATATAAAGTAATGGAGGAATATAAAGCAATGGGCTTTTGATAGTGCTGAAGAATTTTTTTGAAGAATTTTTATGTTTCCCAGGAACAGATGTCGTCGGTTCTGGCACAGTCGGTCTCTGTGCTTCCAAGTCTGCTTCTTCATTTATGATATTGTCTTTCGTGACGTTGTCTTTCATGACGTTGTCTTTCGTGACGTTGATGATCTCGATGGGTTTTTCATTCATGACGTTTTCTTTCATGACGTTTCCTTTCATTGTGGATAGTGGATAGTAAAAATTCGGATTTTTTTGGCCATGGTGACGACTTTATATGGAAGTGGGGTGCCACACAGAATATTTTGCAATTCGGAAATTGCCTTATTTGCCATCCACGCAAGCTTCAGTAATGGTTGGAATGACCTGAACGATTCTAGATTGTAGTTCCCTGATATGGAACTGCTTCAGCCAAGACTGATTTCTTGGGGTCTCTCGTGAGTAAAATACCACATTTGCAATTCCGTGGGTGATACCGGAAGTGGAGCCTCCACAACTTCTAGTAAAAACGACTTTCAGCAAATTTTGCTGATTGGCAAAACTCTGATATAACATAACATTCTGTGAGTACGTTGGATGTTGTTTTTGACAAATGCTAAGTGCAACTACAGAAGACAATCATCAGCAACGAGTAGAACCTCCCTTTTTCACTACTGAGATGAAGCCAACTATGGATTTTTTTCTCACGATTTCATTATCCTAATTTCAAGTACCTTACTTCGATGCTTTGTTTTAAGGTCCTGTCTGATCGAGTAAACTTACTCTTCAATGAACCCCATACAGATACTCCTTCGAGACACAATCTCCTCGTATTTTCAACAGCAGACTGCGGGCTGGCTTAGTTCAATTTTCTCCTTATGGTGGAAGTGACGAGTTGCGATAATAAAACATATTGACATCTTGTGACACACTAGACTCCTTCCTTCATTCCATTCCACCATAAACCTCTGTAAACGAAAGTTTACGATATACGTTGAAGGCCAAACTGTAAGGCATCGTAGACCCGCTTCCAAGAGCTAGAATAGAACCAGCATCAGTATACTGAACCTCTCAAAATAGTCTGTAATGGCGTAGATGATTCAATACAGACGTTGCCGAAGATCTTTTTTCCTCTGCATTAGATTTTTTTCCCTCTGCATTTCAGCAAGCGATAACAGATACCATAACGTTACAAATGCTAATACGATCGCAAGCACATGAAGTGTAGGGGCTTGTGTGAACAGCTTAATTTCGAAATACCACCCGAGCAGAGGTAAAGCATCTACCTTCAGTAATGCAGTCAGAAGTGGAAAAACAAATTGCAAGGCGCTGAGAGATAAAGCGCCAATTATTGCAAGATCATGGTGGCTCATCCACAAGCCCACACTTATCACACCAATACACAAAACAACAGAAAAGATGTTGACCCACGATACAGCAACCTGTACAGCCAAATCTACTTTGTCTTGAGGCAAAAATGATACCTCGTCGTTAGTCAAGCCCTTGTAATAGCAAATAAGGTTACCCAGAGTATTGCGGCACGTTTTTCTTCTTTCTAATTCCTTTTCCAATTTGCCTTGCACATCACGGTATGTCAGCATGAACTTTTCACCAAACTGAAGTGGATTTTCCATTTTGTTAAACTCGGCAATTTGGACACCGACGTCTCTTAGTATTAGGCCTTCAGCCGACCGTCCTTTGTAGCACACCTTTTCAGAATCATCGTTTTCTCGGCATACTCCAGAATACGTCACGGTGTAAAATCCATGGGGCCATTGCTCTGGTAAAAGCTGTCCAATGTTTTTTGTTGATCCCTCCATTGCCTTCTCCAAAGCGTTCACAGTGTTATTCATACTGGAAACTAGTGAATGGTCATACTCACATATTTGATGGTTCGCCCCTGTGACATATAAGGACCGATAAATATATGTTATGTAAAATAGAAGCCAGCCCAAATATATCAAGGGATAAATAGCCAGTTTTTGGTATAGGTAATTGCTGAAGACATCTTTGCAGTAGTCTCTTATTCTAGCAGGCGAATCCACGAAACTTGTCGTTTCTGGTACGAACTGGTTCGGTTCGTCCAAGTCTATTTCTTCTCCCATGGGATGTTAGATGGTGGGAGATTCTGGAATTATTTGGGCTATGGTGCAGACTTTATAAGGAAGCAGGGGTGTCGATCATATTATTTGACAATTCGGGCGACTTATATTATTGGTCATCCAGGGAGCTACAGTAATGGTCTTAAAATAAAATCAAGGTCCGCAGAAGGATTCCTTGATTTTATTAAGAGGCAAGGTTGATTTCGATGTTGAGGCCTCATGAACAGAATACCACATTTCCAGGCCCCTCGGGAATTAACGATAATGCATAACTTCATATGCGTCTTCAATGAATGTGATTTTCACCGAATGTCGTCATTTCCGGTTGACAATTTGTTTTTTCCACTTTTGTCATTTCAATAGAGGTTCGGTGACAACGTTGAATGCTGTTTTGCCAAGGTAGATGTAAGTATTTGGGGGTCTTTGAACGGAGCTAGTCTGGAAGCTGATAAATGGTATTATCTCTATGTAATTCAAAACGCTGCATGGATCGAGCTGTGAAAAGTGTCAGCCTGGATGCAAGTATTGAACATTACCAAAAATGAACATTACCATACTTATGAATACAAAGGTAGTATTTGGCGTACAACCGTGAGCAATTCAACCTATAGATAAAGCTAAACCCATAAAACTAAATGCAACATTTATAGGAAATAAGAATTCATCCCGTCAAATCCATTCAGCAGGCTATTTACCCATTGATATCTATTTTCCCTTCCTTCCATCATCATACATCTTGTATATTTCTATATTATTAACTATATTATGATGGAAGTAAGGGAAAATATGCCTTCTTTCGTAGGTGTCTCTCCCCTTTCCCAATCCACACACTTAACCTATCATTACTCTGGAACGGTGGGGTTTACTGTGGCGGGAGTATCCTCTCTATACACAAGCCAAAAACAGTGACCGCTTGCTATAATTGCCAATACGAAAGCAATGACAGGAACTGTAGGGCCCGGTGTAAACAGCCTGATATCGAAATACCGAGCGGTCAGATACAACGCTTCCATTCCCGGAATTGCAGCCAAAAATGAAACAACACACCCAAAGATGTTGAAAGCTGGAGCCATTGATAGTGGAACTCTTGGGTCAATGCCGACCATCCAAACCCCCATCATGAGCAAAATAAGAGACACTGCGGCAGAAGTCATGGCCATCCAAGCAGAAATAAGCTGCAGACCCGTTACAACTTTTCCAGGCAAGGATAAAATCTCATCGTTAGTCAAGCCATCGTACCAGCAAGCCCTGTGAGTCAGCGTGGTGGGACACGGTTTCATGTATTTTACCAACCTCAATTTATCTTGCAAATCACGGTAGGTAAGCATGAATTTTTGACCAAACTGAAGTGGATTTTCCATTTTGTTGAATTCGGCAATTTGGACGCCGACGTCTATTAAGAGAAGGTTTTCTGGTGATGGTCCTTTGTAACACACCTTTTCAGAATTATCATTCTCTCTGCATACTCCAGAATACGTCACGGTGTAGAATCCATGGGGCCATTGATCTGGTAAAAGCTGTCCAACGTTCTTTGTTGATCCTCCGATGATCTTCTCCAATGCATTCACAGTTCTGCTCATCTCTGAAACTAGTGAACTGTCGTACTCACATATTTCATGGTATGCTCCGGTGATGTAGAGGGATCGGTACATGAAGGTTATGTAGAATACAAGCCAGCTCATGTAAAGTATTGCGGGAATGGTAGCTATTTGATTTTTGTAAGTGGTGTAGAATTTTTTGAAGAAGTGCTTTACTTTTCCAGAAACAGATGTCGTTGTTTCTGGTACAGTCGGCCTCTGTGCTTCCAAGTCCATTTCTTCAATCATGGTGTTGTCTGTGGCGTTGTCTTCCTTGACATTTGTGACGTTTTCTTTCATGACGTTTTCTTTCATGACGTTTTCTTTCATGACGTTTTCTTTCATGACGTTTTCTTTCATGGGATAGTGTATGGTTGAATTTCCGAATTTCTTTGGCCATAGTGGTGATTTTATAGGTAAGAGGAGGTGTCACTCATGGTATTTGGCAATAAGGAAGACTTGCCTTATTCGAAAGCCATGCAAATTATAAACTTGGTGGAATGACCTGAAGAGCTCTCGGATGTAGCTCCCCGATTTGGAACTTCTACAGCTAGTTCTTTTAACGAAGCTTGTCTGGAAGCTGATAATATGGTTTTATCTCTATGTAAAAGGGATTAGCCTGTTCCTTTTGATCAGATATTTTAATTGGAAAAGATAGATATGTAGAAGTAGATATACATCAGCGGCATAATTGAAGGTCCACCCCTTGTGTATCACCATGTCTTGAACCCCACAATGCTTGAAAGTCCGTAGGTCACTGTTTACTGTTGCTTGTGAATCTGTAGAACTACCAATACTCTCCATTCCAAATCCAGTAGGGCATTGTTAGGTTACAAGCTTAGGAATCCTATGAGTCGTCACGTTATAGTATATACTTCCCTAAAGAGCTTTAATCTTATCGCAAGGCTTCGTCCTTTTATAGCCCATGGGATAAGGTGTAGTTTCAGGCGCAGTAAGGGATGCTAAATAATATCATAGGTTGAAACCTCCTCAGGTGTTTCAGGTTGTCTATGTTTCAGCAATCAACATATTGAAAATGACAATAAACGCCATGGATGGTATAGCTGGCTCGAGAAGGTACATTGTGAAAGCGAATGCATGAGATTCATCGACGAAATACTCCATCGGCTGACCTAGTTTTGTTGCCATGACAAGAAACGGTGTCAAGCCAGGTATCAGGACGGCGGTGCAAAGAATGGAAACAAATACTGCAACACCATCTTCTCCATCCCATAACAACAAAGATAACGAAATGAACAACAAAGCAGCTTGCACGAGATAGAGATAAGGACCACCGATTTGCGGATTTTCAGCAACTCTTGTAGAAGGAAGGAAAGAAGCCTCCTCCGCCGTAAGGCCTTCAAACTCACATATCCGCTTTTCTTCGGAGTAGGAGTAGTGACAATGGCTTCTTTCTGACCGCTCCTTCCTTAAATTCTTTTGTACCTCTCGGTAAGTAACCAAGAAGGTTTCGCCAAAAGCAGCTGGATCCTTCATTCCATTGTACTCGGCAATTTGAATGCCAATGTCTTTGAGGATAAGATCCTCCACTATCTTGCCTCTGTAGCACACCTTTTTGGAGTTGTCGTTCTTTCTGCAAACAAAGAAAAACCCTACCGTATATGTTCCGCTGGGCCATTGTGGTGGTAGCAAACTGGAGAAATTTTGAGTTGAGCCCTCCATCGCTAGTTCTAGAGAATTAGCCGTCTGATTCATCTTCGAGCTAAGTGAGCTATCGTACTTGTATGTCACGACTCCCAACTTTGTGGTGAACATCGTCAAACAAGAAAAAATCATGAAGAAGAACAACCATGTCTGGTAAATATACAAAGGGATTTTCCATACCGACAGTCTGTTTCTTACAGCTCTTCCGGCTCGCTCAACTTTTGTTCTTGTTTTATCAACAAGCACATTAAGGGCCTTGAGTTTTTTATCCACATCGGGACCAGGGTTCTGGGCTTCCAAGTCTAGTGTCTCTTCCATGATTCTGCTGATTTCTCAGAGGTAGGTATCGGAGGATTTATGTAATTGAAGAGGGATTCCTGAAACGGAAAGAGTATTAGGAAGTTCGAGTAGCATTCTGAGGAGGGTAGTGATCATTTGGTTTAAAGTCATGCGTTTGTTGTAACTTCCAACCTTAGGAGTTTCTTGTCGTCAAGTGTATTGGTGAAGCTAGGGTAATAGGCTGGTTGGCACTTTTATAATTTGGCCATTTACGTTTATTACTTCATTTATTTGGTTGGGGGAGTTATCTGGCTAATTTGCTAGTTGGTTTGAAGTTCATGAAAAGAGAGTGAAGTCATTTAGAATGGTACATTTTGGGAAAGTGTAGCAGTATAGTGACAATGCTGGTTCTTAAGGAAAGTGGTGGTTGTAATTTCCCAGCGATTGCCATTTTTTGCTTTGTTGGCATTGACTTCCTTTTTCAAAGTTAAATCAACAAAATTGGTTTTCAAAAGCTTGTGGTTTTCCAATTGTGTAGAGAATCAAGATGCGGTATCCAAATTTGCAGCCAAGCCGTGAATAGTTCACCAACTATGAAAACCAGTAAAATTATGACATAACCGAATATTCGTAATAATTACCCTACAATGTCTCCATTGCCATAAAACAACCCAATTCTATCAAAAAAACCAACCAAAACAAAAACTCCATCGAACTACGGAATCCAATAGTCCTGGTCGGGTCCCACTTCGTCAGCCCTGCACACAGCCCTACCACCTTTTGGCTGCGAAATACTAGTGCGTTTTTCGGACACCCTGGAACCCCAAAACCCTCCGCCAATTGCCCCACAACCAATGATTTTCATAAAATCAATAGAAGAAATCGATTTAAACGACCCCCACTTCCACTACACCCAAGCCGCTACGTCCCAAACACCCTCCACCAAATATTCTCCCGCGCACGACCCCCCGTCCAATCAAACACCCACCACACTCGGTGCGAAAAAACCACCTTCAAAATTCACATACTCCAGAACTACTCAACCATAAACCATGATGGCCTCCCGTGTTTTCGCCCGTTCCATGGCCGCCGCTGCCAAAAACACTAAGCCTCCTGTCCAGCTTTTCGGTGTTGACGGTACTTACGCCAATGCCTTGTACTCGGCTTCTGTTGAGCAGTCCTCTGTGGACGCCTCCTACCAGGGCTTGACCAAGGTGTCTGACTTGATCAAGCAGGACCACAAGGTTGCCGAGTTCTTGAGCAACCCTGCTTTGAACTTGGAGGACAGAAAGATTGTCATCAGCACCATTTCCCAGTCGTTGGGCTTGGACAAGACCGTGCTGAACTTCTTGGGTGTTTTGTCCGAGAACAACAGATTGAGCGAGTTTGACAACATCTACAAGAACTTTGGCTCTTTGTACGAGGCGTACCAGGGCGTTGTCGAGGCCAAGATCACCTCGTCCAAGCCTTTGGACAACAAGACCTTGAAGAGATTGCAGGCTGCCATCCAGAAGTCGTCTTTTGTCGGCCAGGGCAAGACCCTCAAGATCAACAGCGAGGTGCAGCCCGAGATCTTGGGCGGTTTGGTTGTTGAGGTTGGCGACAAGACCTTGGACTTGTCCATCTCCAGCAAGGTGGCCAGGTTGAACCAGACCTTGGGTGAGGCTTTGTAAGCAACGCCTGTGCATCGCTAGACGTATTACATGATGACGTACGAATGTCTGCCGCCGGCGTGATGCCGAGCTGCTGATGCTGGCGGCGGAGGGCTCCCATATAAAGAATATACCGTTGGAGTGAAATGAGGGGTGGGTTCGGTCAATTGGCCGGCAGCCCGCTGAATGTAGGTAATTGTAGGTTAGGTGAGGGAATAAGCGAGTGCTGAGTGCAATTGGGTGCTCTATGGGGTGTGTATTGTGATATCTATGGAAGCAGATCACTCAGCCTATGGAAATCACTCAATTGCATAATATGAGGCCCCTAGATTGTCACCGGAAACAATTGCTGGAGAATTGAGTATTTCACCAGAGTGGGCATCAAGTAGAAGAGATGGTCCTAGTACGGCCGTTTAGCTTCTGTTCTACGGTTGACCATTGAAGGTTTAAGTACAGAGGACCAGAACAATCAACGCCATTGAGTTACCTCATAAATCGGTCAATTGAAGGCTCGTAACCTTTTAATTGCGAATCGATAGGTTTGGTTAGTCTTTGATCTTATCTGACGAGTCTAGCGTTACAACCTGCTTAGATACTTCAGAAAGTGCAACGTTCCATTTTTCCTGGTAGAGCCATCTTCTTATTATCTTCGTGATAACTTGAAAAACTCAATTCAATACAACACAATATTAGACATAACGGCGCTACTACTTGCCCTTGGCCTGTTCTGATTGATGTAACTCACAGTAGTGGTCACACCCTTCAAAACCTAGGTGAGCTGAAATTACCGAAACAACCGGCCAATACTTACCAAACATGCCAATTGCTCCTTTTCAATGACAATTGAGTTCTTCAAAGAATTCACTACACGAATATGGAACCACGCTCATTCTACGCTACCGTACCATTACCTCCATGTTTAAACCAGCAGCTCACACAAACTACCAAACATCCACAACGCCAAAAACCATACCCAATTGCCCAATTCCACAACCATTCTCTCAATTCCCTCCTCCCCTTCCTCCCCTTCTTCAACAAAATCTTTAATTAATAAATCATATAAATAATCCCCCTCTGATAGGCCAATCCCTCCTACCATAGCCTCGATGGCTGCGAAATATCACGAAACAGCCACCACCACCAACGATACCACCCCCAATTCCCCCACAACTACCCCCACCAACTCCATCCAAAGCCCACATTCCCTAAACCGCCTCCAACCGCCAAAACAAAAACCCACCCAAAATTCCCAAATCCCAAATCATCTATTTTTACCTCCACCCGTGAGACCACCTTCTGACGTTCATACACTCCACCAACCACTCATGTTGAAACAGGCCCGCTGGTTCGTCACGCTAGTGGCCGTGGCGCTCAATTTTTTCGTCTACTTCTACCCGAATTTGGTCAACAGTGCCGAGCTGTGCCTGTGGCCGGGCGAAACGCTCCATTTTAAGCTGCCCTGGTTGAACAAGATTCTTCCAGTGGAGACGCTGTTTTGGCAAACTGCCCTTCTAAACTTCCCGCTGGTCCGTGCTCCTCGAAGCCAGCAGCTCCAACACAACAACGGTGTCGCCGACATTCACATGCTTACGTTCGGCGACCCCCAGATCAACGGAAACTGGAAATCCACAAAGTACATCAAGCGACTCGACAACTACGGAAACGACTACTTCTTGGGCCACATCTTCAGGTTGATGAAGAGCCGCTTGGAGCCGAGCCACGTGGCCGTCATGGGCGACCAGTTCAGCTCGCAGTGGATCTTGGACTCGGAGTTCTACAACAGAACCCGTCGTTTTGTGGAACGCTTGTTTCCTAGGGACTACGAGTACAAGCAGACTGTTTTGGAAACGTGGGCCCGCCACGAGGACTACGACTGGGTGACGTGGCTCAATCAGGAAAAACAGATGGACCCGGGCCACCGGTTCCAAACCAGACAGTACAGCGATGTCTACGACTGGATCCACCCCGAACGGCAGGAACTCAACCTTGCAAACCCGCTTTTCATCAATTTGACCGGAAACCACGATATTGGATATAGTGGCGACGCCACGTGGCAGCACATGGCCCGTTTCCACTACCTTTTTGGCCAGAACAACTACGTGATCACGTACAACAAGGGCAAGCCGGAGGAGTGGAGGATCGTGGTGCTCGACTCGCTCACGTTGGAGGGCCCGGCGCTCGAGGAGGACTTCATCAATTTCACCTGGTCGTTTTTGGAGCACTTGAACGAGACCAATAAGGACTTTCGTGGTCTGACGGTGCTCTTCACGCATATTCCGTTTTACAAGGAAGCGGGTATCTGTGTGGACGGCCCGGAGCACCGCTACTACGAGAACTACGAGAAGGAGCCCTACAAGAACGGCAAGCTCCGGTCGCAGAACCATCTTCTTTACGAAACGTCCCAGAAAGTCTTGAATATCGTGTTTCCCAACGCCGACAAGGAAGGGCTCATTTTGACCGGCCACGACCACGAGGGCTGCTCGTCCTTCTACAGCTTCGTCAACGACGAGTGGGTAGCTGCCAAGGAGCCGCAGGAAGGGTCCAGAAATCCGATTCACGAGGTGGTCGTCAGGGCCATGATGGGCGAGTTTGACGGCCAGACGGGACTTGTGAGCGGCCACTTTGATGAGAATCACGGCGAGTGGAAGTTCAATTTCTCCTACTGCTCGTTTGTGATTCAGCACTGGTGGTGGGCGTCCCGTGTGGCTGCCTTGCTAGCTGTTTTGGTGCACCTGGCTGCTGTACTTTTGGGATAGCCGTTGGGCAGCATTCGTTTTATGGGTAAGATCAAGGCGATGCTTCTCCGGATACCGATTGTGCGGTTTTGTTGATCCTGAGCGATGTGAGTATCACTTCTCCAAGTCGACTTCACCAAGTTGGCTATGTCACTGTGCTCAAACACCGTCACAGCGCCAGAGACACGGATACCGAAATGATGGAACCGTGATAAGGGAGTCACTGATATGAAGAATTGACTTGCATTATCCTGGAGCACAACAGCAAAAAGCATAAGTGGAGATATGGATGAGTTCCAGTGACTTCGTTCCGACATGGCCCTAACGGCCTGATTGCCTAACGGCCCGATTGCATTTGATAAGCATATTGATTCATAAAAAAAGTATCAATTAAAAAGAGCATAAATACATATTTTATTGGCAGACCATTATTCTTCCTGATGAATAAATCACTTTCCATCGATTTCAAGAGAAGACATTCATCTAAGGTCAATTACGGCCCTCTCCATTGTTCTGCCCTATTATCTCTAGAGGCAATTCATTACCTTGAACAATACGATCCTCTGAACAATACGATCCACCAGCTGGTAAGAACCAACCTCTACGTTTCACCAACCTCTACTTCACCTACCTCTACTTCACCTACCTCTACTTTCACCTACCTCTACTTTCACCTACCTCTACTTTCACCTACCTCTACTTTCACCTACCGCCTACATCACCGCTAAATAGATAACGTCCATTGGCCTAGGCCTCTACTTTTGGTTCGGCGGCCTCGTCGGCGCCGTTTGCCTCTGGAGCTGGAGCAGCCTGTGGTTCCTCCTTGGGTTCAGCCTCTGGCTCCTCGGCCTGGGGTTCAGCCTTTGGCTCTTCAGCCTGGGGTTCAGCCTTAGACTCACCCCCATTCTTGGCCACAAATCCCTCGATGTCGCTCAAGGCGGTGGTGAAGGAGTCCTCGGGCAGAATCTGCACCTTCTTCACGGCAAGCTTGCCGTCGACAAAGATCCAGTGGGACCTCTTGGTGCCGCTGGGGGTCTTTTTTGCACCCAAAAGGCCAATCAACTGTCTCTCTGGATCCGACAACAAAGGAAAACGCAACCCCTGCTTGCTCACAAAGCTCAGCTGCGCCTTGGGGCTATCCGTCGACAATCCATACACCTTGGTGTTGTTGTCCACAAAGCTCTGGTACAGCTTCAGAAAGCCACAGGCCTGTCTGGTGCAGCCTGGGGTCAGTGCCTTGGGGTAGGCGAAGATGACGACGTACTTGTTGTTTTTGACGACATCTGCCACGTCAACCTCTTTTTCGTGGTCGTCCTTGAGTGTGATCTGGGGGAGTTCATCTCCAACTTCCAACTCGGCTTCCTCCTCGGCCTCAAAGTCCGAGTCCGAGTCTGGTTCTTCGTATTTTGGTTTTTTTGAGGAGGGCTCGTCGTGGGACGCAACACGGGCAGAACGGCGTGGGGGCATGACGGGAGAAAGGAGGAGTAGGTGGGTGGTGGAGAATAGGGTTATGGAGATGTAGGGCAGTCTTGCTGGGTGCGAAAGCAAAGAGCAAGGAAGCCACAGCAGAGTATGCAGACGGGAGGTTTTGGTGATTTGGCGATGGAGAGTTGATAAGAGAATTTCTGATAAGTATTGATTTTTATTTTGGTATTTGGATTTTGGTAATTGGATTTTGTGATTGGGGTTTGGACTGTTGGTGATGGGGAGATGGGGATTTCGCAGCCATGGGAGACGGACAGGGGAGTGAAAAATGGGGGTTTTTGGGGGAGTTTTTTGGAGATTTTTGGGATGGTGGTTTTGGAGGTGGAGGCGGTGCTGGTGCCGTGGAATTGAGCTCCAATGGGCCGTGGCGGTGGAGATACGCCGGGGTGGTTGGTGAATAGGGGCAGGCAGAGGTGGACAGAGGAAGTCATGTAAATCGGAGTCAGGGGAGGAGGGAGTGATTGAGGAGGGCTTTTTGGGCTGTAAATTTGATAAATGAGTGGTTATGGGGGTTTCGGGGTTTGGGGGTGTTTGGGGATTTGGAGGTATGGGTATGGTGATGGTGGATGGATGGACTGTGAGGAGGTGATAAAAAAAAAAAAAAGTAGATTGTGGAGCCTTCGATTATTGGGAGCTTGGAGATTTAAAGACCGTTTTCGGATAGAATGAGAAAGGATACATCAGTGAAGGTTTCAAGTAGATTTTGTGAGATAGACGAGAAGCTAAAGACCATTGGGTAGCTACTAATGATATCTTCGTTGAAACGGTATGGATGAAATGTGTGGTACCCCTATCTCGATGTATACAGCAAATGTAGGGGGATGGCTGTGGGGTGTGATCTGTTGATGGTTGGTGATCTTTAGTTGTTATTAGTATACTATGGATGAGTAAGCAGACATCACAGATCGGAACAAATATTCTCTCCCTTCACTACCGACTTTTCAGAGGTCAAAAACTGTATTCCAAGGAGTAAATCGAGATTTGCTTACTTGTTCGATTTCTAAAATGCCTCTTTTTCTGATTCCATGATAGGCAAGAATAGCGTACTGGAGTTTCCTGGTGTAGACAAGCATAGAATTCTGAGCGCTTCTTACGACTTCCACAGAAGATGATCACCAATAATTTGATTTTCAAGTGAATTGAGAAATCATTACATTTACCGATCCCGAAAAAGCCAGGTGCCGTTATAAATCATCACCCAAAGTTCACTCAACTACCATATCTTTTCCAGAGAGATCACATCAAATCAACCAGATTTCGAGAGATCATGAATAATAAAAATCTCCCAAATCTTCCTTTTATTTTTCTGAATCTGTAGTTGCACAGTTTAGTACTACTCTCCATAGAATCCCGATCACAATGTCACACCGTTATTGTTCTAGAGTCCTCGCCGCATAAACCATGACGACTGTGCCCCACTAGAACGAAATATTCAATTATTTTCTAGAAATTCGCCTTATCCCAATCCCATAATGTACATACTAAGTAGGTCCAAGCCTGCCTGCTGATCAACAAAGCGACGGTCACTCTTCCATACCTGAAAAGTCCCACTCTAGCCTTGAAACTTCCACAAAAAAACGCCCTCCCATGACCATTTCATGCAATTCAGCAAAAATATTCAATATTATTTGAAAAACTCACAATTTACGGAAACTGGAGCACAAACTTCACCACTTATACACCTCCGTGTGGTCACATTTCCCATAATCCTTAGAAAATATTCCCACGGAGCCCCACCTCAGCAACATAAATAGAGCACCTCCGTCGCCTTCAACACATTATTCCACCATCCATTCTTTTTATCCAATACTGGTTTCCGCCATTCCCGGCATGCCAGAACATGATATCATTCCACCACAAGGACGTTAAACAATCCATCCAGGCTATTCCATCCATTCCAAATATCCAGTTATCCAAATATCCATCATCCATCCAATCCGTCGTCCTGTAATATCATGTAATCCATCATAGCCTGTGTGTCCTCGACACTACTAATACTAGTTGCCAAAATCGGCATCCTCTTGGTCTGGCTATACCGCAGATATCGAGAGGTTTAAAGACTTCTCGTACTTGGGGGATTTCCGGGTACGGGTCAGGATCACCATTCTGACATGCTTGAGGAAGGGGAAGTCCTTGAGTGTGAAGGTTTGGTATTTTCCTGGCTTGCTATCGAAGGAAGGAAATATTCCCGGGCAAGAAACAGAGTCGTTGCGGGACTACCCGAGGAAGGGGAAGTCCTTGGGTACTACCACGACGATATCTGGTCGGAAGAAGAACTCCGGATATATAGATGAGTTGTAGAATGGGACCCGGAGATGGGGAGTCTCTTGGGTCAAATCCAGGCTTTAGCTTTTCTGAAAAACACAGACAAAAAAAAGGTACGTTTTTCGGCGAGTGCCTGATAATGGGGAAGTTGTCAGGGACGAGTTTGAGAGGGTGCTTTTTTCGAGTCTGGGCTTTTTAGACAAAAGACGAAAGCGCGCAGAGTCCTGGGGTTTATGATGGGGAAGTCGTTTGCCTTAGGGCTCGGGCTGTCTTCTGTCGAGTGTCTGGCGAAACGCTTATAAGCGTTTTTGCTCCGGAGGTCTTTTGATGACGAACTAGTGGAAAGGGCTTTTTGCCTGAATCTTCCGAAATGGGAGCGCTGGGGGCACGGTCCCCTGTAATTTTTGGAACTTTTTCGACTTGCCACAAAATATTTTGGGCAGGTTTCCTCCGACGGGTCTGCGTGATCTGTCCTTGGATGCCTGGTCAAGATATGGAGCGGCGGCCTGACGTGGAGACCGTGGTCCCACCGAGGGCGGAAACTATAGGAGGGCAGAAACTATAGGGTATTTTTGGAAGGAGAAGGCCGTCAGACAGATATGTCTGGTGGTTTGATGAACATGTTGAGACGTTTGGGAAACTGACGTGAGTGTCGAGTAATTGAGAATGGTAAGACCTTGTTGGTTGTTTCAATGGAAATAGATTTTTATTTACCCTGATGAAGAGAAATCAGTCAAATAGAAAAAAAAAAAAAAAAAGAAGAAAATAAAAGTTTTGATGGTGTAGGTTGGTTTGGTGGCTTGAAGGAGTAGGCATAGGGCGATGTGATGATGGTGAGGAGTCTGAACGGGCTGTTTTTGGCAAGTCCAATTCCAATAAGAGGTACTGACTTTCAAACGGGAAAGGTGCTGGGTCTTTTAGGTACGTTTCCAGAAATAGCATGTTTAGGTGCCCGGTGATGTGTAAGACTCTTGAGCTCGTGTGACCAAGTTACCATCCCGACATGACTGCTGAAACTTCTCCAGAAATGGGAATTGCAATTCAATCACACCAATAACACCTTTTTATGTTTTTATAATTCCCTTCCACAATGTCTATAAAACAGAATACCAACAGTTTAGTGTTCTGTCCCTTGGATACATGCTCTCATACTAGCGGTGGAGCTCTCGCAATGATCATTCTTAATGTGCAATTCAATTAAGCTGTTATCATACAAATACTATACCATCATATGCCCTTTTTTTCTTCAATTCCTACCGATTGCCTCAAACTGGGGCTAGGCAAGCTCCGAAGATGCATCATTATATTCACGTCAGAAGTCCCACAAGATGCTGGTACACCCTCTGTCTCAATAGCCAGCTACACCAAATAGAGGAACCTCATTCTACGGAGGTCACTCAACTCGCCCCATCAACGAGTAGCTCACAAGAGGATCAGATCCCTCAAGATGCCACAGCACCAGTAAGTAATGCAGTACCTTCCACCATATACTATTTCCAATGACCCCATTGGATTTAGGTCACTGGACAAACGATTACATCTACCGCCCTCTGCATTGGGTGACTCTGACGGACGCCCAAACACAGATGCACGGACCCCTAAAAACGAGCCACTTCCACCAAGCCAATCCACCTCATAGCACCTTTCATTTACATCTGGCTACCGTACCATCCAACATTCCCTTCCTTCTAAAACCCCATTCCCTACAAAAATCAAATAACCGTCACACCCTGCCCACCCGCCCGACCCACCTCCTCGATTGGCTCACCAGACTTAACCCGCTATGCATCTGCGATAACAACCCATCTCCCTTCCATCGCTTCACCACTGAAGTCCCTCCATCCCTGACGTCATATACCCTTCCGCCATAACCCTCCACCCCACGACCCCTCCGCCAACAATGGCGGGCATCAACAAACGAAATACACATTGCCAGCGCCAAAAGCTCGGCGTCATGTAAAAACCGTAGTGGTGCGGCTCTGCGATCGCCTCGCTTACCCACGCTAACACCGAAGCGAACGTAAACTCATGTCAAGCGGGCGTTGACGTGCTTCTACATAAAAAATAATCCCAGTCCCCGTTTTCCCAAATCCCCCAAAAAGGCCAAGAAATTCCCTTTCCTCGTCCTCGGCGTGTCTCAGTCCAATTCCCTGCAGCCGTATCGCCAGTTTCATTTCGCAGCCGTACCAAAACATCTCCAACTACAATGCCGCCGTATACCATGGAGGTCCGGTTGGACAACCAGCTTGCGCTTTTCCGGCCTGGCGACTGGGTCACGGGCGAGGTGGTGCTCAAGGTCTCGGAGCCGTTTGAAATCAAGGACATCGTGGTGCTGCTTCTGGGAGAAACGGAGTCATGCAACTTCCAGCACGACGATAACCGGAGGAGAATGAGTGGAAGCACCCGTTTTCGCCTTTTCGAGCTTTCCCATAGGGTTTTTCCAAAAACGCACAATTCCACGCACAATTCTGATCGCTACGAGTTGGACAAGGGTATCCACAAGTTCCGCTTTGACCTAGCGTTTCCAGCTACCCAGGTGGAAGCACGGTGTGTGATGCAATTTGACTGGAACAGGCTGTATTTGCAGACGCAGTTATGGAGGAATACGGCCGAATTGGCGCCTGGGTCGCTCACATCGACGGATCTCCCGCCTTCGTTCAATACTATCTTCGGCATGGACAGCTACGCTGCAGTGAAATACACTGTGGTTGCTTCGGTGGGACGACCAGGGAAAACGGCAGTGGGAAACGTCAAAAAAATAGAGCTCCGTTTCTCGCCAACGCTACATTCTGCCGTGTGCTCAGTTCAGCATTTGACGGAACATGGCTTGTTTCTTCCAGACTGGAGTCGAGGAGGCACACTTCTCCAGCTTCAGTACGACCAGAGCAAACGACAAGATCGGAGCTTTTTCGATAAAATGTTCTCGTCGGGCTCCTTCACCTTGCCGCTTGACGCCGTGGTGGAGTTCAAAAACAGCAACATGTCCCGGTATGCTCAGGGCTCCACCAGCAGGGTTCTCCATCAAGAAGACATTCTTTCGGACGTTTTACGGGTCAAGCTTGTGTCGCCATTTTCGTACAAGGCCTTAAAAGAGGCGCTTTTCGGGCGCTACGTCATCAAACTCGGCCAGGAGGCCGCCGTTCCTCGTCTCGTTATCAGGCAAGTCAAAATCACCATCATTCAGCATCTCCGCTACTCGGGCTACCTGGAAAAAGAAGCCACGCATCGGATCCCGCTTGCAAAACACACCCAGTACCGGAAAGTCGATTTCTCCAGGTTCCAGCGGGAAAACTACCCTGGTTACGAGATATTCCGGGAAATCCCTAAAGAACACTCGTTTTTGGCCGCCCCACAAACAGCCTATCTGTACGAGTTGCCGGCAGAATGGCTAGAATACGGTCTTTTCACCGACGAACAGTCCTTTGTGGCGCCGAATATCCAGTGTGACTACCTGCTTGAGTTTTCCATCAAGGTCTTTTCGTCAGCTGAGCAGGGGAAGCACTATGATGTGGTTTGCGAGGCGCCGATTCTTTTGGTTCCTCCTCGTCACACAGATCACGAAGGTGGAGGTCCACCGGCTCCGTCCCATGGAGGTCCCGTCCGTGTGGCTCCTTCTGAAGCAGAACCTGTCCGTGTGGCTCCTCTGGCAGATGCCGAGGAAGCTCCTCCTTCGTACCAGGAGGTGATGCAGAGCTCGTAGGGAGGGGTGTGTGGGTGGTTTTGGCTGGTGGTACTGCCAAAGTAATAATAATAATAATAATTAATAAAGCATCGACTTCTTTGTGGAGGCACTATATTGGCCTGCTCACAGTTTTAAAGGGGCTAATGAAGGCATCGTCTTGTTCTTGATGGATATGAAGAGATTATTTAAATGTCTTGCCCTTGTTATCAATTGATTTGATGAAGGTGTTGTCTTGGTGGACAAGAGACACTAGGACCTAGTTTTCTTTCCGTTGTATCAGTTCGTTTAATGAAGGCAATGAAGGCACCATCTTGTTTTTTATGGATAAGAAGAGGTTACCTAAATATCATACCCTTGCCAACTATGCATAATCCAAAATCAAAATTGTGATGTTGTCACTATAAGAGTCAGAAGGTTGCCATCCTGTTCGTCAATTGTGGTGACCAAAGAAATCAGTGTTGTATGGAACGCACCTGGTGTTCCCTAAGACTCACCATATTTCCCTTGCCATACTCGCTTGTGAAATACTCTACATCTTTACTCTTTCATTGCATCTCCGTTTAATTCGTCAATGGAGTCGATGCCCTTCATTTGTGACTTTCCAGAGTCCAGAGCACCACTTAAAATTATCAAGAATCTGGACCACCTCCTCCCTCTTGCAAAGGCCTGAAAATTTCCAGAAGGCGTCGAAATATCTATTCGATTCCGCAATTCCATAATCAAGGGTCACAGATTCTCAGCTCTCCAGATGGCCTCCGATGAATCTCCCTTGAAAAGGGTGGTATCGCAGTACCTATTGATAATATACTTCCCACCAGGACTCCTAAAACTCACCCAATTCATGTATTTTTAAAGAATTTGTGAGTGAAATAGAAGTCGTATCTATAAAGCGTACTATGTTGGAGCAGAGACGTCACTTCCCGAGTGCTTTTCTGAAGCCTTCCCTCCACGAACAATCTCCTTCTACTAACTTCCCCCATAACCATCACAAATAAACTCCAAAAACCTCCCTCCATAAGCACAACCAGCGTTTCATGAGAAGACTCCACACCTCCAATACCTCCTACTCAACTCCACCTCCCCATCTACACCTACAATAATCCCTCCCAACCTACAACAAATCTCAAACTTCATACATTATCTATGGAGCCTGGGTGGTGGCGGGAGACACGGCGGCGGCGTCCAAGGAAGCCGAAACAGCATCGCCAACAATAAAGTATGGCTCCCACACACCAGCAGACTTACAAGCACTCTGTGCCAAAGAAGTAGCACTCTTCACATCTTCACCCTGGCACTTTTCAGCAATACACTCTCCCACAGGCTCGGTCCAAGGCAGCATCACACAGAGACAGCCTGTATCCCAGTAGGGACAAGGCGTTGAGGAGGTGTCTTTGGCGAAGCACTCTTTTGCACATTCGGGCAACTTTTCGTTGATTGGGTCCGCCAAGCCGTTGATGGAGGCTGTTTTAGGCACGGCTGGGTAGGTGGACCAGTTTTCAGCAGCAACGGCGGTCAAAAGGGCGAAAAGGGTGGTAGTGAACTTCATGGTGGTTTGATTATACGGTTTTGGAGGGAAATCTACAGTATTTATAGAGGGAAGGAGGTTATAGAGGAAGGGGGCTATAGGAGGAAGAGAGGAGACCGAGTCGGTGAAGCTGGAGCGTAAATGCAACTGTGACGCAGGTGACGAGTCAGGAACGCCGTTTGATGCATCCTTGACGTGCAGCTAATTGAGTAGTTGGTTCATGAGCTTTGATGGGGATTTAAGGAGACATGACGGGAGGTTTTTTAATTCTTTAACTTCTTGTTTCTGCCCAATTGACTCAATTGATCAATTGAGTAGAATCTCTTTTTTTTATTAGCGCCATTGAATCCACATCCCACGGCCGATATCTCCTGGTGCGTATCATCCCCGATTTCGGTACAACCGCAGAGCGTTCACATTCCAAACTGGACTCGGATAAACTTTCTGTAAAACGGCGACCGGTGACTCCGAGGCGTGGGGGGCCTCTCACGGTGGGTGGGTGGATCGACGACGAGATCGGCTTTGAGATGAACATGCACTTTTTGCAGCCAATCCAGAAAGCCACCGTCGGCTATGCGAGAGGCGTGGTAATTAGGTTGCCGAGTTGGAAAGAAAGCGTTTTTGGAGTTGATGGTCTTTGGGGTTTTGGGGAGATATCACAATCTTCTGGCGTACTAGTGTCAATTTATCGTTTTGTGTGCTTATGAGTGCTGTTCAACTAGGCAGAATGGTCAATTGAATGCTCGTTTATTAAGAGTCATTTAAGTCGCTCGCATGGAATTTAGCAAAAACGACCATCAGATGATGGAAAGCCGTAAAAGTCTGTTTAAGCTTCTGGGTTTAGGTCTCGGATCTGGCCAAGTTCTTTGAGTTTGGAGAAATGAGCCAAGCTCTTTGAGTTTGGAGAAATGAGCCAAGCTCTTTGAGTTTGAAGAGACGAGCCAAATCCTTTAAGTATGAAGAAATGAGCCAAGTGCTTGAAGTTTGAAGAAGTAGGCCGAGTCCTTTGAGTTTGAAGAAATAGGCCGAGTCCTTTAACTTTGAAGGAATAGGCCAAGTCCTTTAACTTTGAAGGAATAGGCCAAGTCCTTGAAGTTTGAAGAAATAGGCCAAATCCTTTAACTTTCAAGAATCGGGAGATTAGCCCGCCACTGTGGTACAACGCCGTTCTGACAAATCATGGTTTGCCCGAAGATGCCTATTCCTGAGCCACAGACCGTTTATACTGTAGCCAGTTCACAGGCCGTCAATCCACCTACTAAGCCAGCTTCAGTGCCACAGGCATGAGTAAGCCGTTGATCTGCCACAATCAAAGAAGCTTTGATCGGCTAAGGTGATCCACCTCCTTCTGCCTCTAAGCCAGGGCCACATCGACCTAGGGCCACATCGACCTAGGGCCACATCGACCTAGGGCCACATTGACCCTAGGACCACATTGACCCTAGGACCAGGATGATTCCAGAACCTAGTATCCGGACACCTCGTCCAATTGATTTCTACACTTAGCTAAAACCAAAAACTTTTATCAACTAGTCCTCTTATCAACTCGTCTTTTTATCGACTCGTCTTTTTATCAACTCGTCTTTTTATCAACTTAGTCTTTTACCAACTTGTTCTTTTTCAACATAGTCTTTTACCAACTTAGTCTTTTATCAACTTAGTCTTTCACCAACTTGGTCTTTCATCAACTTAGTCTTATCAACTTCCTCTTTCACCAACTTCCTCATTCACCAACTTCCTCCTTCATCACCTTCTCTCTTCTACGCCTTCAACGACAACTCATCCACTTTGACATCCACTGCGTAAATCCCATCAGCAGAGGCTCCCACCTTCACAGACGCAGGAAGATGGCCCGAACTGAAGAAAAACGTATTGGTGATTGTACTCACTCCGTCGTTCAAAAACACCTCCAAAAGGTTCTTGTCCACAATGGCCCTGAGCTTGTAGGTCTTGTATCCATCTTTATCAGTCTTCAAGGGCTCTGCAATGGCAGAAATCTTGTCTGTGAAAAATACGTTCTTGTTGAACTCATTGTCCACGCCTCTATCGATAAAGAACGCCTCGGCGTTGGCATCGTAGCCAAGCTTGATCTCTTCCTGGGTTCCATTGGCCTTATTCGATAAAATCGAAACCTGCAATTGCTTGCTGTTGAGCTCCTTAGGAGATAAGGTAAAACCCACCTCAATGTCGAAAACACCGGTGGAGTTTCCACTCACCGAAATGCTCTCGTTCTTGTACAAGGTATGGTTCAGCGTCTTGAACAAATTCTGACGCTTAATAGATTCTCCAAAAATAGGCGTCTGCACCAAAGTCAACAAATCCGTTTCGGGGTTTCCTGGCACTTTCGCCAAAGTGTGGTTTCTGACGATTCCAGTGCTTCCTCTCCATGGATCCGTAGGAACATGTCTAGCATACTGCCAGTTTGAAGCCCAGGCTACACCCAAAACGCCGTCTTCTGAAGGTGTATCGCTGAATGTCTGGAAAGCGTAGTAGTCCTTTCCGTGGTCGTGAATCCTAGTTTGATGATCGTCAGGCGTGAACTTATAACCATCAAAATCGCCAATAAAGTACTGGTTGGCAGATCCACCCAAGGGCATTCCTGGGTTAATCGCCAAAATCATCACCCACTTCTTCTCGTCCGTGCCCTCCACAGGAAGCTCCATGAGACCTGGACACTCGTACTGGAATCCGTATAATCCAGCGGAAAAGTTCAGGTGCAAAACCCAGTTTTTGAGGTCTGTGGATCCGAAGATCTGGATCTTGTACTCTTGTGATTTTGCAAGCACCATGACCCAGTGGTTTGACGGCTCGTGCCAGAAGACCTTGGGGTCACGGAACTGGGTGGAATTGACCTCGAGCACAGGGTTGTTTTCGTACTTTTCAAAGGTGAAGCCTCCGTCTGTGGAGTAGGCCAATTCCTGGACCTGGGCATCTTCGGAATTCAACGTGTAGAGCGCCACGGCACGCTGGCGGGGGTCCACGGACTCGTTGAAAAATCCCGACGTGTTGTTGTAGTCCACCACCACCGATCCAGAAAAGATTCCTTCTCCTTCTCTATCTGGAGCAATAACGGAGCCGTGGTCGGTCCATTTACTCAAATCCGTGGACGACGCATGGCCCCAGTGAAGGTCCAGCTGGCCTGTTGTGTCGTTCGGGGTGTACTGGAAGTAGAGGTGGTACAATTCGTCTTTGGCGTCGTACCAAGGTCCGTTGGGGTCGTTCATCCAGCCGTTTTGGGGCGTGAAGTGGATGAGCGGTCTGTTTGAGGTTGCTAGAACCATTGCGGTGTTAAGGGCGCCCAAAAGAAGGGGGACGATGGAAATCATGGATTTGTGATCGGTTTGGATGGCGGTATTTATGGGTTGAATTTAGGGTAGCAACTTTTCGCAGCCTCGGAAAAACTCGCATTGTTCCCCACATATTATTAATGCGAGGGGATTTTCCGACGCGGAGGTGGAGGAAAGTTGGGGCATCGGGGGATGATAAACGGCAGAATTTGGGGATTTATTGGGACGGGATTTTGCTGGTGAGATTTGACGAATGTAAAATAATTGCGCGAAAAAGTACAAATGGCTGGATTTCAAGACGATCTCTTCGGTGGACTAATCAGCTTTCTGTAATCAGGTTTCTGTACTTGAGCATTGAGCAAATATTTGGTCAACATATGGTGAAGAGCATGGCCAAGTTGATTTCGCTTTTGCTTTTGTGGCTGCCATAGTAGTAAGCTCTGTAACTTATGTTATGCTAGAACAAAGTCTGAATGGTATTGGAGTGATCAATAGTCCTTGACAAAGCAGACTGGAAAGCTAACGTTTGTTATCGAAGTGACTAAAACCACTTGTCATCAGAAAAACGCCTTTGGAAAGCATGTATTTTTCAAGGAATCCCAGATTTCCAATGAAGAAAGTGCTTTGTTCAGTGGCTGCACCTTCAATGGGCGAACCTCATTCCCAGCAGAATCACAACTTTAATCCACCATAGTATGACAATTCCTGAAAAGCAACTGGCAATACCTGAAATTAAAATGGCACACAAAGCTCCTGAGATCCCTAACACATCATACAACGTCTTCGAGTCATCGACTTAATACCTCGTTGATTGTTCAAAAACCACTCCAAAAAACAACCAAAACTATTTGTTTCAATCTCCTGGAACTGGAAGCTTCGGAGATCCTCCCCGGAACAATCCCGGATAAATGCAGAGTGACCGGAGAGTTATTAACCGCCAACCCGATCAGAGACCGCATCCACAGGTCCAAGAAGCCGTTTCACAAAAGTGGTCTGCTGCAGCAAGCGCCGTAAAAGAAAAAAAATTTGCATCCCAAGGGTCCACTCGTTGCAGATTCACCGACTAGTGACTATTTTCACGAACCCATAAACCATTGAGTCTGAAACCTTTTGAAGCTCTTTTCTCATCCAAAACTACCCCATGGCAATCTTCCCTATTTCAGCAACAAACCTTTGAAGCCCAGACCCGGATAAACCAGTAGCAAGTCGCCTATTGGAAAAAGAAACCGGATTCGTCAGCGCTGTACCACGTCTTGAGTTTCAAGAAACAGGGCGTTTGCCGAAGTAGAGCGGTTGTGGCTTGTGCGATCTCGCATGGAACTACGGGAAAAGCAATGAAGTTTTCCGTAAGGCGGGTCGGTTGGATTGACTAAAACCGCTATTCCGCTAGCAAAGACAGAACGATTGCCGCTTGCGTAGGCCAAGAAAAGCGGTTCCGAAATTTGCATCTTCATATGTGCAAGCATCTTCGAATATATTGCCTAATCACCTCAGGTCAAGTGACCGGTTCCTGGAGAATGGTAATAAAAGAGGAGGGGCGCCGCAGACGCCGCAGAGGGTGCATAAGTGTGGATCTCTTATCGCTTAAGTGAGAGAGAGCGTTGAGAGAGAGACGACATTCTGCTCCTTTCGTCCGCTCAGTAGCCCTGACCGAAAAGCCTCCAAAATAACCACGTCAATCGATCGCCAAGACTGCCGTTGACAGTTTTCCAAGAAAATTCAGCTGTCAGTGTCAAAGATGTGGCTGTCACGTGCATTATCTACGCAATAAAGGCGTCACCTCGCTCAACTGTGGTTGCAAAATACTGCACGCTGTGCGTCTAATTTGCACCCATTCTGTATTACCGATTTGCAATGCTCTTCTAATTCGGGCGTTCTTCCGATGATCTGCATAGGCAGCCGAACAGCTTCGTCATCGGTTGTATTTAAACCTTCCGAATTTTCACTTTTCAAAAACTAACCATGGGTGTCGTTGCAGTCAAGAAACAGCACGAGAAGGGATCCACCGTTCCCACCAAGGCGGAGGAGAAGGAGCTCCACAACATCAATGTGGAGGAGTTTTCGTTCGACAGTGAGTCGCAGGCCGACTCTCTCGTGTCCAATCCTTTCAAAGACCCCGTTGTTGCAAAGTTTTATGGTGATTTGTACGAAAGAGTCGAGTACGAATGCCGTGGAGCGTTCGATCCAGAAATGGAGTGGACCGAGGAGGAGGAGAAGAAGATCATCAGAAAGTTGGACTGGCGTGTGGCCCTCAGTGCATGCATCATGTTTGTCGGTTTGCAAGTCGACAGAGGCAATTTGGCCCAGGCCGTTGTGGACGACTTGTTGCCTGAATTGGGCATGAACACCAACGACTACAACACCGGAAACACGATTTTCCTAGTGGCGTTTTTGTTGGCGGAGTTACCCTCGCAGTTGATTTCCAAGAAACTCGGTCCTGACATTTTCATTCCTATTCAGATGATCTCGTGGTCCATTGTGGCTGCCTGCCAGGGTGCCATGACCAACAAAGCCGGATTTTACGTTTGCAGAGCGCTTATTGGTGTTTTGGAAGGTGGCTTCATCGCCGACTTGGTCTTGTGGCTTTCGTACTTCTACAAATCCACCGAGTTGCCGCTTCGGTTGTCGATGTTCTGGACGTCTCTCTCGCTTACCCAGATTTTCACCTCTCTCTTGGCCTTTGCCATTTTGAGAATGAGAGGCATCCACGGCTTGTCTGGCTGGAGATGGCTTTTCATCATCGAGGGCATCTTCACCTTTTGCATCGGCGTGCTGGCCTTCTACCTTATGGTTCCTTCGGCCGTTCAGACCAAAAACAGGCTCCATCCAAAGGGCTGGTTCAACGAAAGAGAAGAGAAGATCGTCGTCAACAGGGTCCTCAGAGACGATCCTTCCAAGGGCGACATGCATAACAGACAGGGCTTGTCGATTAAGATGATCGCCAAAGCCGCCTGGGACTACGATTTGTGGCCCATCTACGCCATTGGCTTTTTGGCGTACATTCCTCAGAGTACCATTCAACCTTATATGACGTTGGCAATGAGCTCGCTAGGATTCGAGCGTTTGATCGTCAACTTGCTCAACATCCCCCAGGCGGTGATCCACATTATTTTCCTTATTGCATTGACGTGGTTTTCAGAGTATGTCAACGAACGTTCGCTTGTGTCGTTGGCATTACCCATTTTGACCGTTCCGTTCATGGGTGCCATCAGATGGTGGCCTGGAAGCATGCATAACGCCTGGGTCACCTGGTTTTTGGTCACCATGGTGTTGGCGGCTCCGTATATCCACGCTATCTGTGTGGCATGGGTCTCCAGAAACTCCAACTCCATCAGATCCCGTTCGGTTTGTTCGGCCTTGTACAACATGACGGTCCAGATCGGTAACATCGGCGCTTACAACATCTACAGAGAAGACGACAAGCCTTTGTACCGCAGAGGCAACACGCAGCTTTTCATCATTGCGTGTGTGATGTTCCCGTTGCTTGTGATGGTGAAGTTGTACTATATCTGGAGAAACAAGCAGAGGGACCAGATATGGAACGCCATGAGTGCCGAGGAACAGGAGGAGTATGTGAGGACGACGACAGACGAGGGCAACAAGCGTCTTGATTTCAGGTTTGACCACTAGGCGTGTGTATATTTATAAAGTGATACAGAGAGAGGGGAGGTGTAGTCTATTGGGGAGTAGTACATTGAAAAGTAGTATATTGGAGGAGTTGATGGAGGAATTGGGGTAAGAAGTTGAGTTTATGAGGAAGGAAGTTTCAATTGTTCAAGTATTTTGAGTTGTGGTTGAGCTGCTCTGATTACGGGCTATTGAAGTCAAGTTATGGTGGAGAAGAAGGAATAGAAATTGATCAAAATACTATGTTATAGGTAAATCTGCCCCGATTTGGCTTCCAATGAAGGAAGGTTAAGTTGAAGATAAAGGAGCAGCAATTATTCGATGATTCTTTACTTAGGTTAATCCAATCTGACTACGGCTTTCGTGAAAAGAGAGTTGTGCTGAAGAAGGAGTAGCAATTGTTCATATACTCTTTATTATGGGTAGATTTGCTCTGATATGGTTTTCATTGAAACGAAGAGGAAAGTCATGATGACGAAGAAGAGTACTGATTGCTCAAACGTGCTTTGATTAGGTAAATCTGCTCTGATGTGGCTTCCAATGACGGTGGGAATATTTTAAGATTGATGCAATTGAGTCGAAATATTAGATATCATCATGCAAAATGATATCACCAATGGGTTAAGGATCAATTAAAGTTTTAAAAGTGCTCATTACATTTGTAACAGAGTGAAATAACAGAATAAAGTGAGTCGGTCATTGACGATTTCTACATTCTTGTTCCGCCTATGGAACGCAATGGTTAGCGTTAGTAGACTTTCATTGAAACCAGGCGGTAAATTCCCTAAACGGTGAAAGTAACTTTCCAACTATACTGCAATTTTTCATCCACACTTGCTCATGGAGCCATAGGTTGTGAGCTCTACCGGAATTCGCTTAATCCATTCTGGAAATCTTGTGTTCCAAACTTCCTTATTTCTCTTCCCCTTGAGCCACCGTTTTCGGCCAATCGCTACATCGCCCAAAGTGCACCATGTCAATTCTGACTTTTGATATATCCTTGAAAATCCTGTTCAACCCCCTCCTCACTTGGCTCCACCAATACCCGCCAAGTAGGCCAAGGCCCACGAACGGGTCATTCCAGGGTCGATCAAGTTGTTCTGCCAGTCCTGCCGGGAAAACCACTTCCACGAGTACTTTGGATCGAAAAGGCCCGCGTTCAACTTCAAAATGCCCTGCCAGCCATCGGGGATCTTGTCAACAATTCCCGCCAATTTGGCGTCCCACTCCTCCTTCACGTACTTGGATCCTCTCATGTACGACGACATTGGCGTGATGGGAATCATGTGGATACCGTGCACGAACTCGTCGCCAACCGTTCCCCTGCCGAAGAAGGTAGCAAAGTCGATCTTGTTTTCGAAAAGAATACCTGAAACCTTGTTGGCGGTAAAGCGCTGTGGCAAGAGGTTGTTGTCGGAAGTGTACATCATGTAGTAGTTGAGGGCCGTTCTCTCAATACCAAGCATCAAGTTAGCAGCCATCTCCAACTCCTGGTTGTTGATGATCTGACCGTAAAGCTTGAGGGCATAAATGGAATGGTAGTCTTCCGACGAGGACTCCTCGTTTTTGCCGTCTCCACTGGGGAAAATACCGTGGGCGAAGGAGTGGCCGTGGAACCAGTCGAAGTTACGGAATTGGGGGAAGTAGGGGTCGCTGTCTGAAGGGTTTCCGTAATCTCTGATCAATGTGAGAGCGTAGTTTTTGATCAAATTGTCGTTGGCAGTCAACCACGATGGGTCAATGCGGGCCACAATGGCAATGGCGTGGATGTGGTAGCCGTAATGGAAATGGTGGTCGTTGTAGTTCAGGTTACCGAAATCCTGGTCGGGTGGAGTATCGGAAATGACACCTTTCCAGCTTTCGTCGTAACGCAAGGGGTGCTGCTGCTGGTTGCTGGCGTACTTTTCAATGGCAGCCTTGATTTTAGGCAAAATCTTGCCGGTGAGGTTTTGGTCCTGAAGCACAAAATGGGTCACCATGGCAAGGTAGGCGTATTTGTCCAACTGCTTACCGCCGAAATACATCGAGTCAAGGTCACACTGGCCGGCCACGTCTTGCTCAACCTCCTCAGTTGCAACCTGACCAATGAGCTGTTTGACTTCGTTGGTGTAGTTGCCTGGATTGAAGCCAAAACCGTCTACAGCCGTCCAGGGCTCAAAGCCAATATCAAGGGGCAAATTGGGCACCTCAAACTCTAACTTATCGGTGACGTAGCCCCTCATGGGTCCGTTTGTAGGAGAGTCAAGCTGCATTCCACTGTCCCTCTTTTTGATATCCTCCTTGAGGGTGACCTGGTGGTGGGGGAGACACCAGACCAAGGTGGATCCCAGGTTACTGGAGCCGTGGGTTTCGTAATTGAAGGCGTAGGTGCCTGTTTTTCTGTCTGGATCAACGGATCCAGAGAGTTTGGCGTCAATGGGGTATTTTCCACAAGCGTCATCGTAAGCAGGAGACTCGCCCTTACACACTTGCACCACACAAAGCTTAGACGCGTTGTTTCCCACAATGTGGTTGTTGTCGGCCAACTGAAGATCCACATTGGGGTCTCCACTAAGGTAGATCAGCCATACAAGCTGGTTGAACAACTTGACCGTGTACTTGGCGGTCCGGTTCTGGTTCACGATTCCCACTTTCTTGAATTCCATGAATCCCACCTGCGACGAAAGCACGGGCACGAGGTTCTCGTAGATACCAGTCACGAAACCCATTCCGTAAGTCAATGGCATGGAGATTCTGCCCTGTTCGTTGGCCAATTCCACCAAAGCAGCAAGTTTCTCGTTTTTGATCGTGGTGACACGTAAGTTGTTTCCGAAATTGGGCGCCGTGAACGTAAAAGACTTGATTTTAGGAGGATTGAAGAAGAACTGTGCTGGGTTCTGTTCTGGGTCAGGACCAAAAACATACTGCAGCGAGTCTGTATGGTTGAAGGCCATGCCCCAGTCGGAATCTCCGTCTTTTGTGACCCATAAGGAGTAAGGAAGAGGCCATGTTGGGAAGGTTTGATCGTCCAAAAGGAGGTTATTGAAGGTGTTGTTCGTTTGGATGGGACCTTTCGATGCCGAGTTGACCGGAGGCTGGGAATGAGGGCCTCTCACAAAGTGTCCTGGAGGTTCACTGGTACTAAGGGGGTTTTTGAAAAGCTCAATGGGCATTTTGTGGAGAATGAATGTAGATCAAAGTGGTTGATTTGGTAGACCAGGCTGTGTCGCACTGTAGGTTGCGGGAGACACAGCGACATTTTTGCAGCCACCGGCCAACCCGGGTGGGACGCGTGTGCCGAGGGTGGACCACGGTGACATTCGGGGTTTAGTGGCCGAGGGTTGCAGGGCCGATTTGATGTTGGAGTTTCGTCGGATTGATGTATGTCGTGCTGCTGCTGACGCATGGAAGCGAGAGGGGGGGTTTGTGGGGAGGGGCACGGCGGGGTACAAGACAACGATAAGCTTTGACTACCAAGCGAGGGCGATATGATGCAATTTTGAAATATGGAGGGTCCCTTTATATGAGTAGTTTTTACAATGTTTGTAATCAATACTTGAGATGGTGCAATTCCAGGCCTTATTTTATTTTGCAGCACAATAATATATTATTGAGACTATCCATCACGAATGACCTGTTGATATTGTTGCACTTTCTGATAATTGCCATGCTTGTTTAACTCTTTTCTTTTCAGAAACCTGAGTAATCAAATTCCAATTCCACCAACCCCTCAAACTAGTCATGTACCCACTATACTTCATCGCAAACAACAATATTCCCCACAGCTTTCCAAGCGCTGTAAGGCGAGAAATACAAGCAAATCCTTCAAACTACCTTTTCCATGATACACACACAGTGGCGTACCACGATGAATTCTACACGGTGACGGGTGTTTATTTGAAAAAAGTGAACCTTACCAACAATAAGCTCCACATTCAATCCGCCAGAAAAAAAGAAGGCATTTTAAGCTGCGGCCTGGGTCCAAAATTCACTGATGACAAGGCCAGAATCGTCTTTTCCGTTGCCCGCTTGCAACAACTCTACTACAATCCTTCGTGGTCTGAAGACAAATCGCCTTTCTGGGGTATGCTTTGCCTCAAAATCGGCGTTTCATTGATTCCACTTGAATACGCCCTATCGAGCCCGCTTCTCAACAATTCCAGGACTCTGCTTCTTGATTACTCAAAAGTAGTGGAGCTGAACTACGATGATCCACACTCTCTTAAATTAACCCCATACTACAGGAAGCGTGAAGAGACATCCATGATTCCTTATGCAAGAATCGTAACCCCTGGTGCTTCGGTGCCTTCTTTCTTGGTGCTAAAATTGCATCACTACGACACTTTTTTGTGCATCTGTCAAGCAAATCTTTGTATCACCAACGTCAAGGTTATTCTAGAAGAGCATTCGTGGTGCAGGGTGGATTCAGAAACGACTGTGGATGTCCAGAAAGACGTTCGGACTCTAGTTCTTATGGACTCGCTGGAGGAGCATATAATTAGCCACGACCAGTTCAAAAACAACGGCACTGGTTTCACCCTGAATCTTCCTGCTGAGGTCTACGATTGCAAGCTTCCCAATATAGGACCCACTTTTTTTAGTGACCCGCTTTCGAGAACCTATAAAGTTCGGGTGAAAATGAGACTACTTTGTGAGACAAAAACATGCTATTCGGAGTTGTCCACCCTGTTGAATGTTGATGTTGCTCTCGAAAGTCACCTATCGTCTTTGCAGCAGACTTACCAGCCCAAAAAAAGGGATATGCTGCTTTTTATTGAGAGAACCCCAATGGGCTCAAATGTACTCCTGGAGGTTGCAAATGCAGCAGCCCTGAAAGTCAAAAAATTGTCTTCACGTTACATTTACCATATTACAACGGCCGTACCCCGGAAAGATCATATTGTGGGAATCACAGCGGTGTATCTCTCTGAAAAACACAAAAGCACAGAAACGTCCTCTGAAACAGACTTCTCGTGCTTGGACGAAAATGCAATGATCATGAAACCAAACGGCTGGTCCTTGACGGAACTAGAAAACCACAAATATGTCGACACTGAGTGCTTTTTCGTTTTTCCTGACCTTGATAACATACGGTTCCCTAGTCCACATCAGGTATCGTCACTGGATAAGAGGGTAAAACTTGTGGCATCTTCCCCTCCTCCAGTGAAACACTTTCCTGGTGCAACTTTGGATGAATTGGTGGATCTCAGCATCCATGTGGACGATATAATGTCGGTGTGTCTTCGTAATATCAATATCAAGCTTGTGAAGCAACAAGCTCGGATCAATCCTGGAGGAACAAATGTGGTGAAAACTGAAACCTGGACGCTATTTTCAGAACTGACGAGCTCTTATTTCCGAAAAGGCGTTTTTCATATTCCTGGAGACAATTTCCGGTGCAAGATACCAGACCTTGTACCTTCTCTGTTTTCCAGTGGTCTCGTCATAACTTACTGGATTTTTATCACCGTGGATTGTAGGGTGAAGATGTGTTCCGACATTCACTTGAGCAATGCCTTTGCAATATATACGGCGCAAGAAGATACAGAATTTCTTAGCATCCCGCCGCCTCCTTATAAATCTGAAAAGAAGAAGAGGTTTTTGACAAGGTGGATCACTTCAAGGAAGGGTTGATTGGGGTAGGTCTTCAACGCTTTTTTAGTTTTAATAAGAGGAAGTAAGAAAAATAGAATAACAAGAAGTGTATCTGTAGATTCTTGCTTGTCAGAACCAACTTAGTATCCCCTGATGAAGTGTGCTTTTGCAACTTGAGTCTGTTCTCTTACACTTTAATGATTCTACCATCAATGCATTTCAAGTTCCTTCTTTAATCAAATATCCACCCGAATTCTCACAAAACACATTCTGCAATAATACTGTAACCCAAAATAAAAAAACCAGCGAAGCCCATTTGTGTCCTCTCAAAAAGCCGACTTTGACATATATTTTCTTGAAAGCGAATGACCCCATGCGGCATATATACGTTCCAAATTCTCTTCCACCACATATCATCATGTTTCCAATCTACCTTATTGAAAATGCGAAAGAGCCCAGCAGCTCTCGTCAAGCCGTAGACGAAGAGCTACAGAACAATCCGTCAAATCACCTTTTCCATGATACACACTCCGTTATGGTAGGTGGAGAGTCCTGGACAGTTACCGAATTAACCTTGAAAGAAGCAAAACTCCTCGAGGGCAGTTCAAACTTACAAGAAGCCAGAAAAAGAGAAGGTGTTTTGGATTGCGGCCTGGGTCCGACCTTGAATGACGGTAAGGCAAGAATCGTATTTGCAGTAAGCCGCAAGGACCAATTCCAGTACTTTACAAGGAGATATAACGACAAAAACACCCTTCGGGGTGTACGGTGTCTTCAAGTCAGGGATTCTTTTGTTCCTCTCCAGTACACTTTTTCCAATCCGTTGCTTGATAAGTATAGGACGCTCAATCCCAGTACCCTTAGTTCCACTGAAGAACAGCTGAACGAAGAAGTCCCTCTAAGGCTAGAATCGTACTATAAAGCACCCCTGCTGTTTTCCGTACTGCCTCCTTCACGAATCATCACACCTGGAAAGAGAGTGCCTGATTTCATGGAGTTAAGGCTATGTCAAAACGACGGTTCTTTGTGCGAGTATCGAAAAGGCCTTCTGGTCTCGAAGATCAAGGTTGTAGTGGAGGAGCACACCTTGTGCAAGGTCCAGTCAAAAGAAGGTTTCAGTTTTGAGAGGAAAGTCGAAGATTTCACGGATCATGAATTGCTGAAGAACTTCACCGTCTCTTCTGACGCCTTTAAAAGTAATGGAACTTCCTACACCGCCCTCATTTCAACGGACCATTATCCTTTTGTTTTCCCCAGAACCGGGCCTTCGTTCTACACTGAAGACTTTTCAAGAACTTACACTGTTCGAATCGAAATGACGATTTGCTGTAATTTGAAAAAAGTCCAATGGCACTTATCGACCCGGATGAACGTTGATGTCGCTATAGAGCACCATTTATCCTCCTCCAAGCCAGCCTTTCAGCCTCAATTAATGGACCGTTTGTTGCTCATTGACAAAATCCCAAGATCACCTCAGACCTTGCTGGATGTTGCCAGTACTTCTGCAATGAGAGTTTCCAGTATACCTTCAGGATGTTTATCTTCCTCCACCGTTTCAATACCTCGAGATGACCATGTTGTGGCGTTGACAACGATGAATCTTCCACAATGGCACGATGCAAGATATATCACTTTTGGCTCGAAACGGTTCAAAATGTCTGGAGACTACGCCTTGGTCATGAAGGAAAAAGGCTGGTCTTTGGTGGAATACAAAAACGATAAGTACATCGATACCGGTCATTTTTTGAACCTCGAAGAGTACACCTGGTTCTTTCAGTCCTACCGGTATTCGTATTGTTGTAAAATGGCAGGAGCAACCTTGTTGCTATATTTAAATTACCCTTATAGAGTGTTTTCAGGTTCTGCTTTAGAAAAGTACTTCACTGTGAAAGTGGATCTCAAAGGTAAGCATAAAATGGGCATCCATAGATTCGAAATGAAGCTTGTCCAGCAGAAGATTCATGTGCTTCCAGGAGGCACACATGAAGTCAAGCATAAGTCCTGGCGTTTGAGTCCAAACTGTACCACTTTATCATTATGGAAGGGAACCACTCAGGTGAAATACCTGTGCAATGTGCCAAAAGTCGAAGCTTCTGTTTTATCCAACACCCTTTACATTGGCTACAGAATTTATTTCACTTTGACTCTTAAAGAGGAATATCATTATCACAAATTGACCAATTACATGACATTTCACGTTGCCGAAAGAGGTCGAAGCACCATTGCCGTTTCGCCTCCTCCATACCGGGAGGATTAGAACAAAAAAGGACTTTTTTATCTTTTTTTTAAGCGTGTCTTGATGGAAAGGTCTACTAAAGACTTCTTAGGAAACCCAGCTTGTTTTTATAATAGAGAAATAATTGTTTCACTTCCCATTGTGTCCATTAAATTTGCTTCTTGGTCTGTAGATGTTTGACGATGAAATTCAATAAAAGTATTTGTTGAGCTTTCTCGTTATGGGGGGTTTTTTTTTCAGTAGAATGTATTAATGTGACACTTCTAACAATTATCCTCCGGTATTAGCCCAAACTGTATCGCTATAGAAACACATCCCACTATTAAAGAACACAAATATCTTTCTTTACCAAAAAGACACTTTAAACCTCATCCAGAACTTCTATTCATGAGCATGTCCCACTTAAGTTCGATATGGCCTACAATTCCAGAATCGGCATTCTATGCTTCAACTCTCAATTCTAAGAAATTATCCCTAAGACATCAGGGTCATCCTCTTTCTGGCCTCTGGAAAGTCCACACCTATTCCACCTTCCAAATGAGAATGACATAAAAATTATACGTTCCAGCTCCAGAATATTATCCCAACTCCAAAATCACTAGACCTTCCCTTTAAATGCCCAAAATCCACAAATACCAACCCCATCATCCACAAACGTCATGTACCCTATCTACTTCATCGAAAGCCTAGATCAACCCAACGGGTTCTATAGAGCCGTAGAGGAGGAAATCCAGAAACTCCCTTCCAACTACATAACCCATGAAACATACACCGTTGCAGCCAACCAAAAAGCGTGGACTGTGACTGGTCTTCTTTTGAAAAACGTTGATGTCGTTGAAGATACTACTTCTCTTGAGCAGGCCAGAAAAAAAGAGGGAGTTTTCAACTTCGGACTGGGTCCATATGTGTACGATGGTAAGCCGAGAATAGTATTTTCATTACTACGTCGAGAACAGCTTCATTATGACCCACTTTATCCAAAACAGAATACTCAGAAGACCATTTTGGGGACACGTTGTGTCCATATTGGTGATTTGAGAATTCCGCTTGAATATGCTGTTTCACAAATGCTGCTATCCAGGTACCGAAAGAGTCTGAAACCACAAAAGGCTGTGAAGAGCGAAAATCCCATTTTCCTTCTGCTACTGTCGTACTACAAATCAAATAAGCTGTGGTGTATTCCACATTCCAGAATCGTGACTGCTGGAGCTTCGTTGCCAGATTTTTTGCTGCTCAAATTGTACCAAAATGAGCCTTTCTTCTGCCGCTGTCAGGAGAACTTTGATGTCAAGTATGTCAAAGTGGTTCTAGAAGAACACATCTGGTGCAAGGTGCTATCCAAGGTAGGCTTCAAAGTCCAGGAGGAAGTGAGAGAAGCTACTCTCAGAGATGAAGAGATATACTTTACTTTTAGGAGTCCTTTTAAGTTTGATGGATCCCGGTTCAGTACCAGTATTAATGATAAAGTTTTCGAGTGCAACCTCCCCAATATCGGTCCTTCTTTCATATCCGATGACTGTGCCAGAACATACACACTTCGAACAGAATTGACGTTTCATTGTACAGCAGGAAAGTGCTCCTCGACCTTGTCCACCCGGATAAACTTGGATGTTGCTATTGAGGATAACATTTCAACAATCAAGCCGTTGAAACAGCCCCAAAGAGTGCAAACCCTCCTTTTTTTCGATGAAATACCCATGACGCCGAACATTTTACAGAATGTTGCTAGTTGCACAGCCTTAAGAACCATAAATGTAACACACTGCATGGGTCACCAAACCTGTTCGTTATACCGTGAAAACCATGTTGTGGCCGTCACAGCTGTTTCTCTTTCAGAATACCACAAAACACTGAACAGGCTTCTTTCGTGCAAATCAACAAAAACCGAAATGAGAGAGTATGCCATGGTCAAGAGGCAGCGGGATTGGGCCTTGGTGGAAAACATAAACGGTCACCACATCGACACAAATCTCCAGTTCCACGTTCAAGGTTTTCTTAGGTTTTGGCATCCTTACGGACGCAATTTTTATCACACAAGCTGTGGGGTCGCCTTGAAGTCATATTATGTCGACAGCGGAGTTGCATACCCAGGCTTGGACCTTGATAACTTTGGAACATTCAAGGTGACCGTCCCTGAAAATCAAAAATTCAAGCTTATCGGCTTAAGAGTCGAGCTTCTTCAAAAGAAAATTCGGGTACTTCCTGGAGGTTTGCACGATGTCAAAACCAAGTGTTTCAAAATAAAAAAGCACACGCCACAATTGTGCTTTTATGATTCAGGAACCACAACGATAGATGGGCTGAGATACAGGTGCAAGATCCCCAATGTCGAGCCCACTATTCTCTCCAATGGCCTAAATATCACATATGAGCTTTTCGTTTGCGTGAAGCTCGAAAGCACAAGTATAACGGTGTCATTGGGGAACAGCACACATTTAGACATGATGAGCGAAACCTCCTGTCTTGTTCTGCCGGCTTCGTATTATGGGTGAAAAAGGGAGGTTTAGTGGTGTTTTTGGACTTTATGGAGGTTTAGTGGTGTGCTTTTGGATGGAGAGTTAAGAAGATGCTGTAATGCTTGGTAAGGCAGGCGTATACATATTTATCGTCGAGGCGGCGAATTACAATTAAAAGGGTATAAGCTTTATTAAGTGAGGCTAATTGCTTTGTAATGTTTGGTATTTTGTGAACTACTGGTTTGTCTATATCTCGATGTTGAAGTAACGAGAAAGGACTCAGTCCACTGCAATTAGTACAACATTCAAATTAAACAAAAAACAAATCTCTCATTTTTTTAACTGAAACAAATCTTTTTATTTGTTTGTGTCATATCGAAGTACTGGCCTGACGGAATTTGGAGTTATCTTAGGTAGGGCTTTCTGGTAGCGGCATTATGCCATATTCCGCATTTGCATCTCAACGGTGGAATCTCGGAGTATTAAGTCATTGACTTTTGAAAGTCTAGGAATTGAAAGAAAAACTCAAAATTCAAAGTTGTCTACCTTCTATATAGCTCTTCCAAAGGAATATCGGTTTTTTCAAAGAGTCATTTGAGGATTTGGTTCTTTTGAGCCGCACGAAAACCTCTAATTTGCAGCCATCCAAAATGCCCAACTCCCTCGAAATTCCGCTAATCTAACAATTAGTAAATAATCTCCAACGTCCCAATTCCCCCAATTCCGTTGCTGCAAAGCCCTCTCCTGAATTCCACCCACTCCGAGATCTCCATCACTTAGCGGCATTCCAGTATGCGCAGAATGCTATCTCCATCATCAGATTCTGAAAAACGCCTCCACGAGGTCAATTCTTTGAAATCTCCAAACTCAAGCTGCCTTAATTCAAAAAATCAACAGTTCATCCAAAAATTCTCAAAAATCTCCATCCCATCTTGAACAATGCCCACTGATAAGCAGTGCAGTAGCCGCACCATCTAACGATAAATCACCCCTCCTCCAAAGTAGCCCAAGGTTCCTAAATACCCAAAAAAAGACACTTTCAAAAACCATCAATTCTATTTAATTGAAATTCGCCTCTATAGTTCAATTGATCTCCACCATAGTTCAATTGACCCCCCACCCATTCGTAATTCCGCTGACGGAATCCGGCGCGATCTAGTATAAATACCACCTCCCTCCCCAGCTTTTTCCCCATGCTCCTGCTTTTTTTCTTCTTGTCCATAGCCCTAGCAGAGCCCCTTGCCACCATCTGGGGCGAGGCCTGGCCCTTCCAGGGCATCAACACGTTTGCCCACCTCCCTAATCACCACTGTTTGGCGGATCGGGATCTCCAGTACGACGTTGCACTTGTGGGTGTTCCTTTCGATACGGCTGTTTCGTACCGCCCAGGCGCCCGTTTCGGGCCAAGGGCGATCCGTGCCGCGTCACAAAGGCAAACATCCCTTCGGGGCTTCAACCCTAGGGCCTTGTACAACCCTTACAAGGAATGGGCCTCTGTGGTGGATTGTGGAGACATTCCCGTTAGTCCCATGGACAACAGCCTTGCCTTCGAGCAGATGACCGTGGGGTTCGAGGAGCTCCTTTTCGAGCACTCCAGGGAGAGGCCTCCTCGGTACATTGCCTTGGGCGGCGACCATCTGGTGCTTTTGCCGCACGTAAGAGCCCTCCACAAGCTCTATGGGCCCCTTAACATCATCCACTTTGACGCCCATCTTGACACGTGGAAGCCCGACAAGTACCCCAGCTATTGGCACACGGAGACGCTGGAGGTGTCGCACGGGCTGATGCTCTGGAAAGCGTACGAGGAAGGCTTGACCACGAAAAACAACGTCCACGCGGGTCTTCGAACCAAGCTTTCGGGAGCTGAGGACTGGGAGGACGACGACGAGCAGGGCTGGTTGCGTCTTTCTGCAGACGACGTCTGGATCCACGGCGCCGACTATATCGTGAAGCAGATCCTCAAACGGGTGCCCAAGAACTCGCCCACGTACATTTCCGTGGACATTGACGTTTTGGACCCAGCCTTTGCCTCTGGCACCGGCACGCAGGAGCCTGGCGGATGGTTGCCCCGTGAGTTGATCCACATTCTCAGAGGTATTGAGCAGCTTCTGATTGTGGGAGCAGATGTGGTTGAGGTGAGCCCCGCCTACGACCATGCGGAGGTGACGGCCACCAACGGCGCCCAGGTGGCCTACGAGTTGATCACGTCGATGGTGAAAAACGGGCCTTTGACGTTGCCCTTCTCTGAGGGCCTCAAGGCCGAGTACAAGCGTTCGCAGCCAGCGTCGTCGTTTGAGGCGGTGGAGGAGTTCGTGGGCTACGGCGAGGAGGACATTCAGGTCGTTTTGCAGAAGAGAGCCGAGGAGCTCGAGAAGTCGTTGGAGGAGGTGAAGGAGTTGCAGAAGCTGGCGAGCCAGTGAGGTGACAGAGTCCAGCGGGTCGTATAGAGCGGCTGTATAGGAAAGACATTGCTGGAATTGCTAAGTTAGAGATGTGGGGGGAGGGGGGATTGGGATGGTGGAGGTTTAGTGTGGTGAGGTTCAGGATGGTATAAGTGAGAGTCTTGGAAGTTCTATCACAAGATGGCTACAAATTGAAATTCAACGAGGTGTTTTAGCTGATTGTTGACTAATAGTGCTTTAAGAGCTCATCTAACGTTGTGGGAATTTCTTTATTTTCTGAACATCCTCAAATAGTTCATTCAGTTATACCTCAATAGAGGTTACAGCTTCTGCAGAAGACAAGGCACTTAACCAATCAGATGCAAGAGATTCTAGAAAAGTCAATCAATTGCCTTACAAATCATCCTCTACAAATCAACAAAGCACTATTCACCTCGAAAATGACTATGAACGATGGTCTAGTAACCCAACGGTATAACCTCCAGAATGCACCTCAATATGCCTATCCACCTCGTACCTTAATCTACCCCAGTCACCCCACAAAGTTTATTTCAAGATGATCGAATTTTTCGAGCCGTTCTTCAACGTCTACTCAAGTTCCCCTATTTCATCAAAAGCACAAAAACTACCAGGTCCATCACCTTGAGCATCCTCTTAGGCTCTCATCCATGAACATCAACAAAAAAGCAAACCATCGCCAAACAAGAAAAAAAAAAAAAAAAGAACCTTCAAAAACCATTTCATCAAACAACATGGCCCCATCTCATCGGAATAAACTTCCACTTCAATCCAGCTTAACCTTCTGCGGAATATCGTCAAGCCATAGCAAAGCCAACTTCAGCCACCAGCAATGACCTTTCCTTTTTGGTCAGTTATTCCGGGCGCCCGTCCCCTTCATTTCCAAGTCATTTCCACTTTCTATTCCATCTTTTGTTTCTTCGATATTTTCAAATATCGAGACCTCTTCTCTCTTGTTTACCATCCACTCAGGCATCTACAGGCCTACTCCCCTATGGTAAACGGCACTAGATGGCCTTAGATGACCCTTAGCGGCCCTAGTAGCCTTTTTACCAAAGCCCTACAATCCGCAAATGTTCCAAAGTGTATTAAACGAGTAGTGTCGAATCTATCAAACTAAATCAAAAGAAGACCAGCGGCCACAGCGCCAGCAACGCCCAAAAAGGCACCGGAAGCAGCAGCAGCACCGCTGTCGGCAGAAGAAGAGCTGTCGTTGGAGCCGTTCTTGTGGGCAGTACCGTTGGCAGTGCCGTTGACGGTACCGTTGGAAGCAGCAAAACCAACAGCAGATGGGTTGGTGATGAAGATGGTGGTGGTGGTGGGGTCAGCGGTCTTGTCGAAACGGCCGTATCTGTGGGTGCCCGAGGTGGTGGCAGTAGGCTCCTTAGAAGTCTTGTCAAAACGGCCGTATCTGTGAGTACCAGAAGTAGTAGCGGTTGGCTCCTTGGAGGTCTTGTCGAAACGACCGTATCTGTGGGTATCGGTGGAACCGTGGAAGGTGGTGGTGACGGTGACTGGCTCGTCCTCGGCAGCAAGGGCCACGGAGGAAACAGCAGCAGCGGCAGCAACAGTGGAGAACTTCATGAAGAAATGTGGTTGATGAGAAATTTGAGACGGTGAGATTTTTATGTTTTTGCGGGAATTTACCTTTCCTTTTCGGGTGGTCACGTGACGTAGAAAAAACACCTCATCCCGGTGGTCCATCCCGAGCCCAGCCACTATGAAATTTCAGCAGCATACTGAAGTGGCCCCCCTCTAGCGATTCAACAAAAAAAATCTTTCAATTTCCTCCGTGGGGAACTCGACTAAATGGACCTGGAGGTGCCGAACCGATGCTGTCCTGCATATAATCCCGGGGCGCTGGCTCCATGCTCAGCGGAGCGGTCCGTATTTCCCGGGACCGACTCCACACAAAAAAACGCCTGCTGACCGCCACTTTCTTGTCGCTTGCATTGTCGCCATTTACGCCTGGTGCACGGGTGTAGTCACTTTTTAAAAATGACTTCTCCAAAACCGCTCTGACTCTGACCCACCGGCTTTCTCCGGACTCCGATTGGCTGCGAAAACGTCATGACGTAAGGCACCAACGGCCGAGGAACGTCTTGTTGGGAAAGGGCTGGAGAAGGGGAAGTTTTGTGAATTTTTTTTAATTTCGAAAACAGTAGAAAAATGCTACGTGGGGTTACTCTGCTGGTGCCGACAATGTCGTTTTCGTATATTTAAGGTGTGGTCCGTTCAGACCCTGTGCCGAGGCCCGACATTCCATTCTGAAAAGCGCTGACCATGGTCCGGAATTCGAAGAAATTTTAGAAAGTTGAAGAAAATGCAGTAAGTTGAGGAAACCCCTATACTTGCAGTTTCTTGAATTCTTGGCTAAACGGTCATTCATAAAGTGGCCTCCTATAATCAAGTAATGCAGCCGTCCTACAATCGTGTCTTCGCTGTGTAGATTACATAAACCAGGAGGGCAGGGCCCTATGAGAGATGATGAGAGATGAGATGAAAACTCGTGATGTAACGTGTAAATCATGAGGCATGGAGAGAGCGTGATGAGGAGATGAGGATGCGGGCGGCCTAGAACAGGAAGTTCTGGTTGTTCTGCACGCCGAAACCGAACGAGTCACCGTAGGTCTCAGGCTGCAAGCCGTTTTCGTAGTTGCCGTCGTCCTCTTCGTCACCAAAGTACTTCTCGATGATGCCGTAGGCCTTGTTGTAGATCTGGACGTTGGAGTTGGCCTGGCAGTTGAAGATCTTCTCCATGCCGCCGGCCTCCTCGATGTAGATGGCGTACTCGTTGTTGGCGGCCTGTTTCTGGTCCTTGTCCAACTCGCCCACCTTCAAAATGTTCATCAACGAGTCCAACGTCACCTCGATGATCTTGGAGTCGGCCACCGCGAGCAAGTCACACAAGGGCTTGATGCAGCCCTGGTTGACAAGGTATCTTATTTGCTCTGGATTCGTCAAACCACCAGACAGGGCGTTGGAGATGGCCCAACAGGCCTCTTTCTTGGTTTTGTAGTCGCCCTGGGCCAACAAGCGGATGATTGGAGGAATCAAGTTCAGGTCAATGACAGCCTGGATTTGCTCAGCGTTACCGGCGGTGATGTTGGAGATGGTCCAGCAGGCCTCCTTACGCAAAGTCTCCTTGGGCGAGTTCAACAAAGGCGTCAAGTGCTGCAAAACACCCAGGTTGATCATCACCTGCGTCTGCATGTCGTTACCGGTGACGATGTTACCAATGGCACGCAAGGCTGGAGTCTGGACCAAGGTCAGCTCGTGGCTCAACAAGTCGACCAAACGGTGGGGGATTCTGGCGTCGATGACGGCCTGGATCGCCTCGGAGGGACCGTCACTCAAGTACGAAACGGCCCAGCACGCGTCCACAAGCGTCTCGGTGTCCACAGAAAAGATCAACTTGGCCAACGTGGGAATAGCCTGTTGGACAACGGACCATTCGGGCTGAGGGCTCTTACCACGGCACAAGTTCGACAACGTCCACGTGGCGGTTCTAATCAACGACATCTTGACGGAGTTGAAGAGACTCAAGACAGGCTCCATGGCGCCACTTTGCAACACAAAGTCTCTGTAAGACGTCGAGTCACCGGCCACGTTACCCAAGGCCCAGATGGCCTGCTCCTTCACCTCCAACGACTGCGAGTACAACAATTGCACAAAACAAGGCACGGCGCCCAGCTCCACAACAACCTGGGTCTGGTCACTGGTACCAGAGGCAATATTGGTCAAAGCCCACGCAGCCTCTAATTGCAACATATCAGGCTGGCCGTCCTTCATAAACTCCACAAGCGTGGGGATCACGCCCAGCTGGATCACAAGGTCAATGGGCGGGTTGTGTTCCCTCAGCAACACCTGACGAAACTTGATGGTTGCAGCCAACTGGTTCTCAAAGTTGTTCAGGTGGATCATCTCCATCATTTTGGGCAAGTCCTGCTGCAACTTGCCAAAGAAGGAGTCCTCACGTGCGCCCGAGGCCAAATCACCCAAGTCGTCCTCGTCCTCGGAGTCGTTGGCCATTGCACCCGTGTCATTGTAGTTTCTTCTTTTGGCCAAAACGTCCTCACGTTTCTGTTTTCTCAAGTCCACCTGGTGGGTTTCACGACGGCGTCTCAACTCATCGCTCTGGAAACGCGACTTGTTTTTGAAGTTGGTCCGGCGGTACTCGGGGATGAATTTGTTTGTCGATTCTTCCATGGTTGTGGTGAAGAGTTGGTACAAAAAATGTGAAGCATCCGCAATGATATGGGTTGTATGCAGGCCGTGGAGGGGCACCCCCAAACTGCAACGCCCCTCGTCCCCTGTAGCGGGAAACTGAAAACGTCAGAAGATTCTCTGGGGCTTTGCCACCACGGCAATGTAATTTTGAGGGCTGTAGGACGCCTGGTTGTGGAGATACGGCCGGTTGCGAAAATCACATTCCAGAAACTAGCCGAGGTGTAAAGACGGGTCGTGGAGGTCATAGAGCGGATTCCGTGGCTCTGGAATAATACCTTTTTCGTACTTCCTGGCTTCTAAAAAGATCAAACGGCTTTTTGTGCTCTTTTGGGCGAGATCATCGTCGACATCTCACTATAAAGATACCCTTTCAAAAACGCCACAGCTGAAAAACCACCCAAATCCCCCTCAAACCCTCTTTCCCGTAAAATCAAATATAAATTCTCCACAAAAACCACTTTTTCCCCTTCTTGTCCAACCCACCCATCGGCATCGCTTGATGTACTGGTGCATGCACGACCATCCACCCTCTCAGCTCCAACTACACCTTTCTTCCATGCTAGCCACCAAAACAGGAGGTGCTCTCTGCAGGCCTGCAGCCCGGATGCTTCTCCAGCGTCGTCTTGCAGGCCACAAAACGACATTCAAGTCCGACGACTCCTCGGTCGACACTGACGAAATCGTCACCAGCAACAACCCATGGAGTCCTACGCTTTACAACGACATTGTGTACGTGAGGAAGGGGTTCAAGAATGTCGCTCTTCCCGACAACTACCGTCTTTCGTATGAGCCGCTTTACGAATCTCCAGGCGCTAAATACGTTGCTATGCTTAAACGGTTGACTCTAGCTTTTGGAGTAGTGGGCATCTACGGAGCCAAGCTTCTATATGAGCTGGTTCAGTTTGACGATCTCTATGCATTGGCGGCCATTGCGGGAACATGGGGCCCTGTGGCGGCCGTTCAGTTCAAAACAAAGGACTATGTCACGAGAATCTTCAGATTGTACGACAAGACGAAGCCTCAGACGTTGGAGAACTTGGTCAGCGACGAGAAGCTCGTGATGGAGAAGTTGAACGCCACGGGCGGCAAGACGTATAACCAGCTTTTGACCGTTTCCGCCAACAAGTCGCTCAAGTTGTGTCCCAAGACAAACGACATCATACCGTACAGGTCGTGGCAGGAGGACTACGACGGGCACAAGCGGTACTTCTATGTTGCCGATAATGTCGGTGGTATGAAGATGGACAGGCTATGGGGCATTGTGGAGCACAACTCGGGGGTGGACAACGGGCGTTACATGACGCCTCCAGGGCAGTAGCATATGTAAATAGACGGAATGAACGGGATGAAAAAAGGTGGTGCTTCTGGAGCTGAGGCTTTTTTGGGGTGAAGCTTTAGGGTGGGGATATTCATTGTAATTGGAGTAAAAAGGTGTTTTTGAGGTTGTGATTCCTCATAGAGTGGTCGACAATGTTTGATCTGATACGGAGGCTTTAACTAGTGATACTAATTCTGGATCTCTTGCCCTCAATAGACGAATTTGTCCAGCGCTGTAGCACAAGAGGTGTAGCAGTAGTAGTAGAAGTGGTTGTAGTAATAGTATTAATAGCAGTAATAGTAGTACTAGTAGTAATTATTGTCTTAGGGGTGTCAGTTTTCATCATCTAGCTACTGACTACAGCCAGTTTAGGCATATTGTTACGAAGAACAGCTAAAACCATCGAAGTATCAATACGAAACGATGAGAGGGTCCTAATTCTTGTTACATTTAATATGTCCTGTTGCGTTACTATTAGTAGCTTGTGACAAGCCAGCGACACTATTGGACCCATTACCATCGGACATGCCCATTAGTCAAGTCAAATATAGAACTAACAGTTGACCGCCGCTTCGGACGACTTCAAACATTCCCTACCCACCTTTTCTCACCCATCACCTCCTACATCGTGTGACCTGCAACAAAGCTTATTATGAATCCAGCACAAATAATAAAAACTTATCAAATTCAACACCTATCAGGACGACCCCTCCCCCGCCAAAAATCAACAATCCACCCCACCGCAAGGTCATCGGAAAAAAGTCACCTTCTCCTTCTTATCTCCACAACGCTCCCCACAATCGATCCACCGCGCGGCTGAGCCCAAACTCTCTCATCGCTTAAGCACCACGCTGCAGCCTAAAAAATAACCGCCCCCATATTTTGCAACATATAAATGCCCCTATTTCCGGCCCAATCTGGAAGGCTTGAGCAATTGATGATTTTTGCTGGGCTTGGCCACACAGTGTGACCTGCAGGCAGCGCTCCCCATGTCGTGTTTATCAGCGTCGCAAGATCTTCGACTAAAATAGATCGT